GAAGTTTTCATCCTTCAATTTAAAAAACTTTTTCTTTATATTTTTTTCTTTTTTATACTATATTAGATCATAAATTATGAAACTTTGCATATATGACAAAACAAATAATTTTTTTTGTCGGTCTGTCGTGCTTCCAGTAGCCCGCCCGCTGGGACTTGAGCCTCCGACTTTGCTAGTTGGGTTCGAAATTTATTAGTTTTTCCATTTTTATTGAGAAATTACAAAAGGCGAGGGCATATCCAGGCAAAAGGCCTGGCATATCTCTGGGGTAGGTGGCGCCTGGGCTTAGGGCTTAGAGATTCTGGGGGAGAGAGCGAGCGGGAATAAGAGAACGAGAAAGCTATATGCAGAGAGATTCGATTCCGATCCCCTCACGATTTATGCTCACAAAATGCCTTTTAGCCGCAGGGCCAAAAAAAAAGGTTAAAAAAAAAAACTATACATTTTTGTTCATTCAAAGTAAAGTCGAAAAGGGGCAACAGGTTTACTCTTTTCTGTGGTGAGGTCTCTGTACAGAGAAACCTGAAGAACAGGGATTAGCAAGAACATATCCCATATATCCTATAAGATTTTTCTTTTCAGGATGTAATAAAATTGATATTTAACAAATGTTTATTGTAATTTAATAATTTTAATTTTTATTCTTAAATCTTTGCTAATATTTTCTTAAACAATTTTTCCTACATAATAAAATCCCCTTTACCGAAGTCCACCTGTAAAATAAACAATGAGAAAATGAAACTCATCCCCAGTACTCGCACTGCAACAACAACAACGAGCTCGGACAATGAGAGCAAGAGAGTCAGCCTGCCTCCCACAAAAAAAAAAGACCCAAAGCCGAAGCTCAAAGCCGAATGCAAATAAAAACGAAGCTTGAATCAGGCTCAAACCGAAACAACAACAATGGGAGCAGCCAAAAGAGAGGCTTAATGTTTGTTATTGTTGCTGCTGCTGCCAGTCACTCAGTCTCATTGGAATGGAATGGCATCTGCGATGAGAGAGCGGGTGAGAGCGAGCGTGCAAAAGAGAGAGAAGTCCTACCGTGGGAAATGAACAGTAGCTTTTTGGCTTTTTGCACCGCACCAGCAACAACAATAAAAGCAGTAAAAGCAACACACAGCAACAACAATCGAGTTTACTGACGTTCCTTCTTCTTCTTCTTCTTCGGCTGCTTCTCCTTCCTTTTTGCTGCCTTTGTTGTTGGGCTGGCTGCTCTTTGGGGGCTGAGTGAGCTTTTGCAATTTCACTGCAGCAGCTCTTTGTTTTTGTTGTTGTTTTTTTTCGGCTCGGTCGGCGCATTTCAAATAAGCCTAATAATAATGCAATTTATGCCAAGTGGAAAGCCCCAGCAGCAAAAAGAGTGCAGATGGAGACAGGAGAGAGCGAGATGGAGCAAACGAGTGGGGGGACAGACACATAAAGGAAGGAAAAGGAGAACGACATGGCACTAGGCGTAGATAGAAAGACGTGGAAGTATTTTCAATTTTGCTTTGTTTTAGAAATCGTAATAAAACTTTAAATTAATAATTAGTTCATTTTTATTTTAGTCGCCCGCTGCATGTTTTCCAACTGCGGAAAATCCCTATACTTATTTTCCTTCCGCTTTTCCAAGAGTGCTGTGTATTTTGCGTTTTGGAAAAACCTTTTAGCACCTTTGGTCAGGCCATACAAGCAATTCCTAACAAGTTGCGGGCCAAACCAAAATGCCACATTTGGCCAAAACAAAGGAAAACTCCCAATTTTCCAACTTGCCAACTGGCTTATCTTTATCTTAGTTACTGGGCCAAAAAGCGGACAAACAAAAAAGTTTAGTAAACAATGTTCTTTTGGGATATTATTTGAGAATGACGGATGCAGTGGTCCAGCACCTCTTTACCGCATGTCGAGGGTTTTCCAGATGCCAGTTTGGTTAGGTTATGGTTGCGGTTACACTTGAAGAAATGTTATAGAATTATTTTTTAAATATTATAAAATATCATTTATAAACAATTCAAATGGATTCATAGGTTTGCTTCGAAAAAGTCCATTAAATTAATTGGCTTAACTTTTTTTTGTTAATTTTTCTCTCAGTGCACAGTTACGCGACGGCGGCGGCGACTTCTGTCAAGTACGTGCGCCATGGGCGAAAGCAGATAGGCAATAGGCGATAGCGCAAGAGCTGCTGCTTCCGTCCCGCTCTTGCCTCTCTTGCCGTACCGTTATCTGGAAGGATCGCACGCGCGTGTTGTTGTAGGTGTCGGTAAGCGTATGTGTGTGTGTGTGTTTGTCCGAGGAGCAGATAACAAAGAGGTGATAATTGACCGCCCTTTTGGTTTTGGCTTGGCAACCAATTACGAAACTTATCAGCGGCAAACGGCGATCGAATCAAACGATCGCCAAAGCGGGCGGGGCAACGCCGGTGGTCCCGCAAGCTATCTCGCTCTAGCGTAAAAATGCACTGAAATAAATATGTAATACACATTTTCAAAGAAGGAAACGCAAAGATTTAACTTATAAAATATATTTTAAAATTCAACAAAATTTATAATAAAAAACAAATACAGGTTATTAAACAACAAAAAAAGAAAATAAAAAAAACACACACCGATTATTTTTAAATATTATAAAAAATAATATTATCAAATTTTTAAACTTATTCCCAAATATCCCAAAACCACATTTGGTCAACAATTTTATTTAGCTTTTCTTACTCTAACGTTTCTCCCAGTGTAGTTACATATCTCTCACAGATCGCATGTAAACGAGAGCAACCGCACACCCATTCGCAAGGTGTGAAACGATCGGGCTTGGGACATCCCCGCGGATATAGACATAAATTTATATGCTAAGTAATCCTTATCGGTTGGTTGGGTTTTTATGGATTGTTTGCCAGATCGGTGGTTTGCTGATCGCTGAGCAACTGCCGCACCACAATATCCTGGTCGTGGGCATGCACCAGGAGAGCCACCTCCAGATTGAGCTGAGCAATGTCCTCCTTCAGCTTGGCGATCGATTTCTTGATCTGTTGCACTGAACCTGAAGATAAGCGGGGAATTAGCACCTTATTTAGAGTATTATAAAGCATTGTGGGTGGTTTTTGAGGGATTAGAGTTATGGGCTCTGAGATTTTTGTTGACCAGAATCAGGGTTTTAAGATATCTTATCATTGTAGAGAAAGAAGAGTGGGGGAACAAGGTGTTACTGGAGAAGGTGGTGATTTTAACAGAGGGAAATATTTGATTATTTTATTATGATTTAAAAATAAGATTAATTTCTCAAAATCCAACTAAACTTAGTTTTAATTATTTCTTAAAAATCTTCTTATATCGAAAAAACCCCCCTCCATACTCACTTCCATCGGACATGACCTGCCCACGTCGCTCCATTTCCTCCTTCTTGAGCTCCTGCTCCATCATCACCTCACTGAGCTGCGCTGTTTGCTTCTCCGTATCCTCTTGGAGTTGATTCTGGGCGTACTGAATCGTGGACAACTCGATGGATAGTTCCTTAAACTGTTGAATCAAAGGTTGTAGCTCATTATTCAGATGCTTCTCGCGGCTCTCGACTTTCTCCAAACTAAAAGTAAACTCGCTGTGGAGCTTCTTGAGCTGAGCCTGGGTGGTTTCCGAGGCCTCTGCTATGTTGCTCCTAAAGGCATCCATCTGGGTGATGTGCGTCCGCCAGTCACGGGCATCTGCTTTCACAAAGACCTTAAGATGTGGCAGGACTCTCTCCAACTCCAAATGCCACTCCTGATGGTCACTCAGCCGGGCATCCAGCTCTTGATTCCGCTCATCTAGATTCACATCGCCAATGGATTTTTTCTGAGGACGATTCAGCCAGTTGAGTTGCCGGAAATTATGAGCCTCCAGCTCCATATCACTGTCATCGCTCAAGGCTGCGGCATTCTGTTCATCCTCCAGTTTTTCAAGGATAATCTCAGCATTATCCTCGAGATAATCGCCGAGGAACTCCTCCTCCTGGGCAATGTGCAACCGCTGAAAACCCACCTTGGCCACCTTGCAGGCCTGGGTGGAGAGGACATCGAGGACCATGAGGCAAATGGGTCCGGCGCCGCGTATAAGCTTATTGGGTTGGAAATCTACGGGGACGTCCTGGGAAATATAGGATTTTTATTAAATAATTAATTAAATCTTATAAGTTTTAAGATTTAATAACATTTCTTATACTGTTACTCACAATCTCCTCTAGCATTTGTATTATCTTGGCTGCCACTGTATTGGGATCATCGTATTCCTGCGGTCGCTCCATATCCTTGCCCAGCTTCTTGGACAGCCACCAACATATCAGGGTGAACATGTAGAATTGCTCGCCGGGATTTGTGGCCTTTACAAAATAGAAACGCGACAAAGGCTTGAGTTTAAATTCCTTTAGCAAATGTTTCTCGTAATTGAGTAATTTCAGTTTTTCCAGTAAGTCATCCGATTGAAAGTTTTGCAACTGCTGCTGGGTTTTTTCGGCGGCGCCTTCTTCTTGCTGCATTTTTGCGGGATTTTTTTTTTTTGTATTTATTTTGACTAAAATAAAAGTTTGTGGTACAAGTAAAACAAGTTGTTTTGAAAAACAAAAAGAAAAGGGTTTCCTTGGTAACCGGAAAAAGGCCAAACAAACGCATGCTTAAGGGGGTTGAAAAATATTGCTTATATTTATACTATTTTTAGTTGTGGTTGTTATAAAACTAAAAACTTGGACTTTTAAGTTTTTAACAATAAATTAAATTAAAAATTAAAAATGATTGCTGCTTTTTCAGATTATAAATTACCGTTAAAAAAGGTTTAAAACTGGATACACAGCACCTAGTTTCCACATCAAGGTTTGCGTCCGCACTGCAGCTTCATAGGTCGGTAAAGCAGTGGAAAATTATTCTCAAGAAAAAAGGCAAGCAGACCTAGTTGCAGTGAGAAACTGCCAGAAACTGCTTGCCAAAGCAGTGCAACATACCACAAAAATCGATATTTATCAATATATCGATATCATACACATCGATCTATCGATTTGTTTCCTGCTCTAGCGTCACTTTTGAAAAAACTCACAAATAAACAATTTCTAAGAAGAGAATTTTACTTTTTTTGGGCTAAACCCACACTTGTGCAATATGTACAACAACCTGGACCTGAAAGCCCTCGCCGTGGACGATATTGTGGAGGAGTACAAGCTGTTACACCAACGCCACCAGCATTTGAAGACGCAAAGCGACCAGGATGCCCAGAGAATCCATGAACTCAAGCGCAATCTGGACACTGCCCTGGCTGCAGAGGCTTATCTCACCCAAGAACTGGAACAGCTTAGCTCTCAGCCGCAGCCGAACAACACTGGCGGGGATTCACAAGAGCTGGAGGATCTGCGACGCAAGTATCGCATCCTGCAAGAAGAGCAGGAATCCCTGCAGCAGGATTACGACCAGAAGGCAGAGGAGGGGAAGACTTTAAAGAAGCTACTAGAGGCTAAGGAAAAGGAGCTGTTAGAGCGAGCCAGCTTGAGTTCCAGGGATCTCCATGAGGAGTGTGCGGCGCGTGTGAATGCCTTGGAGCTGGAGAACTCCGAAATGATGCAAAAGTTGGCGGATTACGAGGAGAACAGTGTGAAGATTACGCTTTCAGTGGCTGAGAAGGATGTAAATATGGTTTTATAGTTAAAATGTATGTAAATTTATGAATTTATTCTGAAATTTAACTCAGAACACCCTTGAATGCCTGGCCGATCGTGTGAGTTGCCTGGAACAGAATCTCAATTGCAAGCGCGATGAGCTGGAGGAGAAACTCCAATTGCTGGAGAGCTGCCAGGAGCAGCTGGTGGATGCCAATGCCAAGATAGCCTTGCTTACCTCGGCTCCTGAGAATAATGGTGATTATAAGACACTTTTTAAGCTCTATAAATATTATTTAATATTTAATGTATTTAAAAATTTCAATAGAACGCAAAGGCAACTCCTTGTTCGCCGAGGTGGATGACCAAAGGCAGGCCATGAAGCAGCTTTTGGCGGCTCAGAAAAAGAGTTATTTGGAAATGAAAAAGACCTATGCGGATAGCCAGTTTGAAATAAGACGCTTAAAACGTGAAAATGTGGCTATGCACTCAGAGTTACAGGCTTGCAGCACTATTTTTTGCAGTGCAGACAAGACATATAGAAGTAAACATAATTTTTAATATTTTTCTATATAAATTAATAACTTTATTTACACTCTCCCCAAAGGCAAGTTAAACGAACGCATTCGCTATTTAATGGCCACCAATGACAGCCTGGAAAAGCAGCTAAAACTCTCACAGGAGCGCCTGCGTGATTTGGCCAAAGACAAGGCAGTCAACTGGCTGGATTCAATGTTGGATTTCTGCAAGTATGAGTTGCCCAAATGCATTGACAGGCTCACCAGCTATGCCCTGTTGTTGCTCATCAGTTAACATAAAAGGTAACTCCACTCCACTCCTCCTCATCCATTTCCTTACTTAAACAATTTAGACGCGAAACCCATGAGCTGAAGACCCAGGTTCACAGTTTGCGCATACAAAAGGCTGGACTAGAGGATCAAATGCGTTCGGTGCAGCAGGAAATGGCACGGTATAAGGAGTTTATTTATAAATTTTTAAAGTTTTTTAAAAGATTTCTTTGATTTCTTATCAACAGCTGGCGCTTTGAGTCTTTGAAATCCCGCTGCGTGCTCATAGATCGTGAAAATTTGTTGACAGAGCACAAAATTGGCTTTAAACCCATGCAGGCCATGGAGTTTAATATACAGGAGGAGGAACTTAAGGCTGCTTTGCCAAGAATAGCAACTCCTTTGGCTGTTAATGCTCCACCTGAAATCCCTAAAAAAGAAGAAATTATAATACTGGAAACACCTATTGAAAAGGATCTAACTTTGTCTGAAGAAATTCCTGTGGAAATTAAAAAGGAGCCTGGCTTCAAACCCTTGGAGAAACTTGAAGGTGTTAAGACCATAATGGGTTTTAAAATTAAAAGGGAAGAAGTTTCTTTAGGAGAAGAAAAAGACCAGGAAAATGTGTCAAAAGAAGCTCTTGAAATTAAAGAAGAGCTAAAGGATTTTGATCCCCATAAAGAGGCTCCCTTAATTAAGGAAGAAATACCCCAAGAAACCCTTGAAGAAATACCCCAAGAACCCCTTGAAGACATGCCCAAACCCCAAATGAAAGGCACACCTGTCAGGGGTCTCCTGAATCCCCTAAAAAACAAAAACCAACAAGACTCCCCTGAGCTCCAAAAAGATCTAAATCAGAATGAAGTCCAAGAAGAGATACAATTGGAAACCCTGCCCAAACCCTTAATGAAAGGCACTCCCGTTAAACACCTTTTGGGCTCTTTGAAAGTCAAGTCCAACGAAGAATTACTTTACCAAAAAGAAGAGCCTGCTAAACCTCAACGCAGGGGTACTCCTGTTAAAAAATTAAATTTCTTAAATAACAAAACAGAAAGTGATGATGAAGAGGAAAAATTCACACCCTCAAAGTCCAAAACTGGAGCCATAGAAATCCTTGATAGTCCCACGCCTCAAAAACCCCAGCGCAAGGGTACACCTGTACGCTTGGCTGTTATCAAGGACGAAAATGTGCGCTCCATTTTGTCCAAAAAGAGGGATATCTTCGCCGAGGACTCCCACAAGGTGGTCAAGTTCAGCGAGAGCGATCCCACCATTCACAATTTGAGTCCAGTTGAGCTGGCGGCAGCCAAGGAGAATGAGAAGCCTACGGAAACGGAGGATGTCAAGGATATAAAGCCTGCAATTCGAAGGCCTATAGTTCGTCGCATTGTTGTGAGTTCAAGGAAAGCCACAATGAAATGATTGAGAGAATTTATAAGAAGCTTTTGGACAAGAATTTAGATATTAATTTTAGATTATAAAATATGAGAAAATAAAATATACAAAATAATATGAGAAAATAAACTTCTTTTTAAAATTTGGGTGATTTTTAATATATAGGTTTTAAGTTAAAGCACAACTTTAAAACAAGAAGTTTATCTTGGCTTTAAATTTAATTATTTTTAAGGTAAATTAATAGTTTTTAGATTATTTTGTGAGGCCAGCCCTGCTTTAAATTCACTAAAACATCAAAAGAAATGGTAAAATACTTGCCCAAATATTTTAACCAAAGGAATTCTTTGATTTAAAATGAGTTAAAAACACTAAACACTTACTTTTTTAATTTTCTATAACATAACTTTTATTTCTAACTTCACAGTTTATTTTTTTCAGTGTTAAATATGGCACAGTGTATTTTTTATAAGGCTTAAGAAATCTCCCTCGTCTCTTCCTGCTTCTCCTTAGGCATTACTTCCTCCTCAAAAGACAGATGATCGTATATGGGAGCCGTTGGTTTCGCTCCCAGCATCTCTTCCGTCTCCTCCTGATCCTGATCCTCCTTGATCTCCGCATACAGTTGATAAGGCAGCTCGGCTGGCAAGGCCTCGTAGGTGACATGGTGGGTCCTCGAACAAGCACTCTCCCTGTGATTACCCGTGCAATTGCAAATGGAGGCAGCCCCACTCACAGGCGTCTCATAGCCATCGGGCAAAGGATCCGCTTCCAGATCCACTGGGGAAGAGCCATTACCTATGGGATATCTGACAATATCCACATGATCCACAAACCGGGAAGAGGTCTTTTCTCCGCCACCAAAGCAGGGCAAACCCGAGACGTAGTAGGACAAATGGAAGAGTCGCTCGCAGTGGAGGTACAAGTACAATAGGAGGAAGAGCAGGGCAATGCCCAGGGGCAGCATGAAGACAATAATCAGGGCTCCTTGACGCTGACTTCTATGGAGTTGCACGGGATTGCCATACAGCACAGTAAAGCTGGACACATTTCCTGGAGGATGTATCACGGGAACAGGAGCTCCAGAGGCCTCTGAACCATTGATTACAACCTGCATAATCCTTTGCAGCTTGGCTGGTGGCTCCGTGGGCGCTTCTTGAGGCAGGCAACTCAGGCCATTCACATTGATGTGGGAAATGTATTTGGAATATTGGAAAAGCCGGAAAAGCTGCGGTTGAGTGTGTGAAAAATTCAATAGCCACTGGCAGCTCCAAGGATTGCCATCGATCAGAAGTCGTAGTTGGGGATTCCAATAGGCAGCGTTGGTTCTTTCCCCTTCCTTGAGGCTCATCAACTCGTTGGATCTCAAATCCAGGTGGTAGAGAGTCACAGGTGCAATTCTGGTAAGCAATTGGAGGAGGGACAGGGTGACAAAGTGATTATCCTGCAGGAAAATCCTCTCAAGACTGGTCATCCTAGAAAACCACTTGATGTCCAAGTTTTTTAATTGATTCTTGCTAAGATCTAGACTTTTCAGAGAGCTTGGTCCATCCAGAAAGCTTAATCTCAGGAACTTTAAGGCATTCTGGCTCAGGTTGAGGTGGGTAATTTCCAGATTTCTTGGTGGTTCCAGGGAGAAACTCCTTAGCTGGCAGTTGGTGAGGCTGACATTGACTAGGTGGGATATGCCTTGGGTTAAGAGCAAGTCTCCTGGTTGAATGGGTGTGTTTTCTACCAGAAGCTCTGTTAGATTTTCAGGCAAAAAATTAAAAAATTGATCTTCTATATTTTTTATATTTTTCAAATGCAATTTCCTTAATTCAGTTAGCTCTCGAAGGAAGTCATTATCTTTAAGCAACAAATCCCTTTCATCTTGTATGATGAGCTCCTGTAGATTCTGGCCACCTTCCAGGATCTCTAGAAATTTTAAAGAGTTCTTCCTTAGTTCAAGTCTTTTCAGTTGTGGCAAATCCTGAAAGGTCTCAGCTCTCAAAGCACCCAATTCATTATCCTTGAAACTAACAGCTGTGAGATTGGGCAGCTGTGCTCCTCCACAGCTCAGTTTCAGGGTCTCATCACCCACAAATTTATAGATTTCAAGACTCTCCAGATCCACGCAATTATCCAAATACTCCAAGCCATAGCTAGCTACTCCCAGCGGCGGTGTCTGTGAGCCATCGAGAAGGACATGCCTCTTCCCTGCCACCCTCTGGGCTCCCAAATCAAAGGGACTCAGCTCCTGGCTAAAGTTTCCACTGCAATCTATGTCCAGGGGCAGGCCAAAGTCACCACTACTCCGGGCTAGCGCAGGCGTCACATAGAGCGTCGCCCGGATGACGCAAGAGGGAGTAACAGGAGATGATAATGATGATGTTGTATTTGTGACATTGCCGGAAGACACCACCAAGTCATCATCATTAATAGCGTCAGCACCCAGCAGCACGTGTGACAAAATCATTGGCAAAACGAGAACGAGGAAGACGCACTGCGTCATCTGCCGCGAGCGGGTCATTGGAGCGTGTCACCGCGGATATTCACTAATCTTTAGGAGAGCCGCTTTCATCCGCTTGCTCGCGTCGCGTGCGAAAATCAAACTGAGAGGCGACCCTCACATTGGGGAAAAGCCCGAGCACCGAACACCGAACACTGAACCGCTGAAAAGTGGAAAGCCATCGACGGAGCGCACCTTTGGCTTCCATTTCAATATGCTGCGCCCCGCTGGCCGTGCCTTCGTTTCGGATAATATGGATACCTATTAGCCAAGATGCTGGGAGGGGTATGATGGGTGTTTAGAAAGGGTGGAATCTTAATTAAGAATTTTATAAATATATAAATAAAAGCTTTGTGGTTTTTTATATATTTAAAATTATGTACAAAATAGGCAAATGGTTTCTTAATTTATACTTTGATTTTTGATCTTTTGATTAATTTTCTAATTATTTAAAATATAAATGATTACTAATCACTATATTTTAATATATTTAATTATTTTTAAAAATATGTCAAAAGTTTATATAAAAATCCTTTAAGTTAGGACTCAGTTCAATTATATTATATTCTTTTCTTTTCCAAAATTTAAAAATTTAAATATTTAATAATTGGTATCTTTAAAGTCTCAAAATCTCTAAAAACCTTAGCCTTTCTAGTTGTTTTAATATTAAAAATTATTTCTGAGAGCATCTTTGTTATATATTTAGACCGCCTGGCGTTCTCTGTGGTCTCTCTGTGACTCTCTTTTTCCTCTGAATAAATGCTTCCTATTTGCTTTGCTTCTTTTTTTCTTTTTCTCAGCTGTCATCGGCCTGAGATTCCTGCCCCCTTTACCTTCTGTCCCAGAAATCATTCCAATTCCAAAACACTTTTCGCACAGAAAATCCATGCTCCACCCAAGTGGCTGTGGAAATTGTTTACATATTTATACACATCTATATGCGATCGAGGGGATATACTTAGTGAATCAGCTGAGATGATTTCTTTGGAAAGTTTTGTTTACATTGCACATTTTGGAACGCCAATTGTTGGTCAGGTACTTAAGAGGTGGGGAATGAGATCATCAGAGGGAGGAGGTGGAATTAGACCAGAAATTAAATTTAAAAGGGGAACCTTTTAATAATTTTGCAGGTATTTATAATAATATAATGACATATATTATACATTATATATAAATTTATAATGTATTATATTGGGTATAAAATATATATGTATAGAACAAGCTTTATGGAAACTTATTCCAAAAATATTTAGAAATTTATATTGATATTAAAGAGAGACATTGGCTTTGTCTGGCAACAAATATACATTTCAGACAAACAAGAAAATCTTCTATTCTAGACTTTAGACGAGCATGCTGTTTTTTCTTCGGAAGATTGTTTAACTAAAAGTTTGCAATATAAAGGTAATGCGAGGCCTCGATTAAGAATGAAATAAAGAAACTTCTCAGTTAGACCCTCTTTTATTTTCTCTCGCACTACAAGTTGAAGAGCAGGAAGACTGCTTTTCTGAGACCGCTTTGGGTAAAGATCACCTTTCTATAACTCTCCCTCCCACACGAAACAACAACAAAAGTAGCGAACGAGAGAGTTTTCGTTTCAGCTGCGCTCTCAGAGAGTTTTACATTTTGTCTCTTTTAAACAAGAGAAAATTCTGTAAGTTTATTTTCGGTTACTGTTGGAGAGAGCTTTAAATTAATTAGCAGGAGGTTCTTTCTCTCCCTAGAAAAGTCTTTATAATCTTAAAGTAAACCCCCCCCCCAGTAAAAACAATAATTATGTAAAAAATCACTAAAAAGTTTATAGTATCATCAGAAGGTGAAAGTATCATTGTCTCGTTAGCACCATACAAATAAAAGAGTCCAGGCAACCTGATCAAATGGTTTCCAATGCTGACAAACCATATCCTATCAGGTTATCCGGACTCCATACTGAGGGAACTGGCACAGGTACTAGCCCTGGCCCTGGACCTTTTCCTTCAGCATTCGAGGGCCGCCGAGTCGTCCGGTCATTGTGCTAATGCCTGCCTGATTTATTCGCATCAAACTAGGTCGCTGGGAGCCGTTCCCAATGCCAGGAGCACCGCTGGAATTGATACCAACGCCACCATTGGGATTTGTCATGGAGTAAATATGTCGTCGCAGGACCCTGATGTGCTTCTGCGACACCTCAAAGTTGTGGACCAGCGTATGGAGTTGCGTCTGGAGCTCGGCTATGAGGCTATCCCGCTCCTGGATCAAACTTGACGTGGAGTTCTGACTTCTGTTGAGCTTTAGTTCCAGGTCATAGATCCTCTTCTGCAGATCCCTTCGCTGCTTTTCGCTTTGCTCTCGGTGTCGTGAAAGCTGCCGCTTGCTGCTCACCTGGAGCTGCTCCAGCTGTTCCTTCATTTCAGACAATTCCCGCGTCAAACGAGTCTTTTCCGTCTTCAAAGATGCATTGTAGTTTTTGAAGATCTTGAGATCCCTTTCGGCTGCCTTTAGCCTATTGACGGCGGCCTGCTTGCGGCGTCCGAGCTCATCGATCTTGACCTTCAGTTGCATGGCCTCCTGTTGGAGGACATGTAACTTATCCGCCAGTAGACAGTTCTCTCTCATTACCTTCTCGTACTTGGTGTGCTCCTCCCGCATCATCTTGGGCAAATGGGAAACGCTCTTGAGCTTGGTGTCGATCTTACAACGGAGGGAGTCAATGTCATGGTAGATGCTTGATTCCAGCTGCTTGTTGTTGGCATTGAGCTTGTCGATCTCATGCTTTTGGGTGCTCATGATCTCCTGGGCCTTGACACAGCGGGTGTGATAGTCGGCAATCCTCTCGTGCTGCTGCTGGATGACGGTACGGAACTGTAATTGCTCGCTCTTCAGGCTCTGGATGGTGGTCAGGAGTTGACCAACATGGCCGGTATCCCGTTCCCTTTCGGGTTTGTACTTGCGTTCCTAAAGGGAAAAGGGTTTGGTAAATATATTCCTATAACCAAGGAAGACTTAATTTCTTCACCTTGGGCATATTGATCACATCATTGAGCACATTATACATATTCTTAAAACCCTGAGGCTTCATATACTCCTCCTGCTGATCCTGGCTTTTTCTGCTTCGTTTGCTAACCCGATTGGCCAGAGTTTCCAGAATCCCACTATCGTAGACATTGCTCTTCTTTGGCGGATGACGATCCTGTTGTGAGCTTCTACCCGATGACAAGTTCTTCTTCCGGGCTAGGTCCTGGTAGGAACTCTGTCCCGACAGAACCGTCATAAAGCTAGTGTTGCTCTGCAACACCTGGGGACTCTTACGTCGGATGGTTATCTTGGAAGTGGCACTGCTGGTCGAGTTGTAGTAGGGATCCTCGGGATCTGGCTCGCTTTCCATTTCCACCTCCGAAGTGGGATGCTTTCGCCTGCCCTCCACAAACTGATCGTGCTTCTGCTGCATTTCGTTCAGCTCGTAATTGATCTTCATGTACTTCTCCTCCAACTCCTTGGTGGTTTCGTTGTACTCCTTGAGCTCCTGCTTGTACTTGCTCAGCTCCTCTTTGAGTTTGCTGCCTATGGCCTCGGAGTTGGTCTCTTCATAATAGTTTTCTCCATCGCTCAGATCTAGATCCCGATCCCGATCACGATCTCTATCCCTTTCCTTAACGCCAATCTTTGGCGGCAACTGCAGGACACTGGGACTGCTGTGCTCCATGAAGGTCAAGCCGGTGTTGCTGGAACTTATTTCATCCTGTAGGTTGGAGCTCCTCCTGGCAAGACTGACATAGCTGTGGGTCTGATCAAGCTGCTCCTTTTCCATGCCCATTGTTTATATTTATGGGTAAGCCCTATTTTCGGCTATTTCTTAGGACAAAACCCCAGTGTGCGTTGTCTAGTGGCTTTTGGCGACTTTTGGCATCTACTAAAATTTGGCTTATTGTTTTTATATATTGCACTTGGTGAATTTTTTGCCTTGTTTTATTAGCAACAGAGAATTTTTTAAGACGATAAGCATTTGTTTACCAAAAAAAAAAAAAAGGAATATTATTTCTACCTACAAAAATAATTATTTTGGAATCTTGATCTGAAGCCTACTGGGTGGAAGGGTTATAAAGTGCATTATTATTATAATTCTCAAGTTGGAATTCTGAAATATATATAAATATATCTTTCAATATCAAAAGTATTGAATTAAAACTAACTAAATCGATTCGCCTTGTGATAAAAATAAAAAGTAAAATTTATATATTTATCAAGGAGTATTATTTGTTTTTTGAAATCAGGAAGATACTAAGCAGTTAAATAAAATATCATATTCAATATCGAAAAGATTGTGTTAAAAAACATGGCTAAATCGAATCGTCTTGTTATAAAACACCAAAAATAAAATATATAAAATTACTTCTACTCACACTATTGTTTTATATATTTTTTCTATTTAGTCTAATTTACAGGGACAGGGTTTAAAAAAATATATAATATACCTACCTGAAAAGGTACCCTTGTCAAGGTGTACCTTGGAGAAAACCCAGTACCTTTAAGCTTTACACTTTCCCATCTCCCCCTACACAGAAAAAATTCTGGTGGGTTAAATGAACAATTTCTTTTGGTTGAATAACAGTAAACCTACTGTCCATGTATTTTGTTGTTGGATTTGGTGACTGCACGACAGTTTATATGACAGTCAATTACAGTCACCCTTACGTACGAGACTCGGTGTGTTTTTTGTTGTTGGCTTTGCGAACTGTCGTGACTGTCAGCTGCAGTGAAAATACTGTAGGTTTTTCGTAATAACTTTTATGTATTTTTTGTTCTTTTTTGGTCTCGGCTATGTATTTTTGCATTCCCGAGCTAAGTAGCAAATAAATTATAAGCTTTATCGACAATTTTTTTTAATTTTATTAAATTTTTTATTAAAATCCAGAACCTTCTTTGCCCACTAAAATACTTTTTGGTATAATTCTGGTATATATTTCTAAACTTCTAGTATTATGCAAGCGTTTCTTGAAAAAACGATTTCGGGCACACTTAAATAGGTTTTACGAAAAAAAAAATCTATTTTTAGCTCAGAGAGAGAGAGAGATACATATATTTTTGCTTTTTTCTTGGTATTGTATGTATTTGCGTGGCCCAGTTGGTAAGCGGGCGGTCTCTGAATTCTTGAGACATGGGTTTCGAATCTCGGCCGGGGATCAGGAAATGTAAGTTTAATTGGCTTTTAATAGGATTTATACACTAATTTATATAATTTAATAACCATTTGTAGCTCTATAATTACAGATTTCAATAAAAAATTCTTTCACAACAATGGGTGCAGTTTCTACAGTAAAATAGTGTATTTCACTATTTTCGTGGTTTGGCGCTTTTTAACCGCAAAATCGTGGTTCCATTTACTGTAGAGCAGTACATGTTACGTAACGCGTTACGTCGTTATACTGCAGCGTACAGTCCATGGAACCCAAGATTTAGGTTGTTGCCTTTTAACCCACGAAATGGTTGGATTTACCCACGATAATTTTTTCTGTGTAGAAACCCAGTAGGCTTTCCGAAATCCGCTCTCAGCTGTCTTCCAGATAGAAAACACTTCAGGGTCTCGGTCTCAGTCAGTTTCATTTTACTCGTAAGATAAGGATCAACTTATTTCGGAACGTTTTTCTCCCCTCAGAATAGAAGAAAAAAAATCAGAAAAAAACACAAAATCTTTAGTGAAATTTGATCAAAATAAATTATAAATTTATTATTTAAATTATCCTATAAATTGCAATGGCTGATAACACGGAATACACGGATGAGGGCGGCGAGTATGAAGATGAGGAGAGAAACTTTATGGATGAGCACCAGATGCTGGAGGAGGGACCCGAGGTGGATCTGTTCTCCCGGCTGGGCGAATCCTCTGATGATCCCGAGCAGAAACGCATGTACTCCGAGTACCTAGCGCTGATCAAGGAAATAGATTGCCAAAACAAGATAATCCAGGACATCAAAAGCAACATCATGGACATGTGCGCCAAGCCCTGCAAGACCCGAAATGAGCTGCGCGAGATCAAGCGCTTGAGGATCTGCATGGAGCAGGAGAACATCAAGCTGCATGTGATGATGAACCGGGCCATTGAGCTGCAAAACTTTGGCTCGCATCGCCATTACAGGGAGCTGCCCATGACCACCACCGTGGATGAGGACAATCTCTCGCCGTATATGTGCGGCATTGGGGTCCCTGCCCCGGACAGTGGCAGTGGAGATCCCTGCAACGAGGAGCCCTGTTCCAGTGATTGCGGTGGCGGTCGTGACTCTGCCGGGCAGGATGACAAGCTCATCTGTGCTTTGCAGAAGGCCATGCAGAAGATGAAGGGCGCCTGTCCGGAGGATAAGAAAATGATTGATGAAATTGCAGCGGCCATTATGAGCTGCAAGAAGCCACAGCCCGTATGCAGTCCCAAGCCTTGTCCCAAGCCCTGCCCGGAGAGCAGTACCAGCAGCAGCGATGCTTTTTCACCCTGCCCGCCGTGTCAGCAAGCGCGTCGCAAATCCCGGCCTTGTCCACCTCCTTGTCCACCACCCTGTCCACCAACCTGTCCCTCTGGCAAAAGTGAGTCCATGGAGAAGCTTAAGCGTCGCATTCAGACCATGCAGAGCTCGGTGAAGAAGCTGCTACTGGAGGTGGGCAATCGCGATGGACAGGCCCAGACAGATCCCTACATGGACGATGATGATGAGGAGGATGAGCAGGATCCCTGCTCAAGGCCCTGTCCCAGGTCACCTTGCCCGGAGGATCCCGATCCTTTGGTCATATGTGGCGGCAAGCGCAACACCAAGGCTGACAAGTACGATAAGATGAAGGAGAACTATACCAGGTTGCTGACAGAGTTCCAGCGCAAGGATTGCCAGATCAAGGAGCTGCAGAAGAGGTGGGTTTTTTCAGGATTTCTTTTATAAGAAATACAATATATATAAGATATTTTCTCTAGGATGAAGGGCATGTGTGGTCCTTGCCCTGCCAAGGGAGGCGATGGCGATGCCGAGGCTGCTGAACTCAACCTACTCCGAGCCCGTGTCAATGAACTTAAAGAGGAACAACTAGAATTCAAGTGCATCATGAAGGAGCAATCCCAGCAGCTGGAGGATTACCGCAACAAGTATCTTTTGGCCCAGCAAAAGGTCGAAGAGCAGTGCGTCTCCCTGGAGAAACTAAATATGAACAACAAGCGTATTGAACAGCAAATCAACACCGAGGTTAAGGAGATTCGTGCCAAGTTCCAGGAGAAGCTCAATGAGCTCCTCCACTTCCCCAAGCTTCTGGAAAACGAACAGCTCAAACTGGCTCAGGTTTGCAAGGACAAGGACGAAATGCAAACCAAACTGGTGGTGGTGTGCAAGGAACTCAAGGCCTGCAAGACCCAGCTGGAGCAGCCCACCACCGTTGATGTGAGGCCCCAGTTGGCCCAGTGTCAAATGGAGCTTACCCAGGCCAAAAATGAGCTGGAGGAGCTACTCCGCCAACGTGATCTCTTCTGCGAGCAGCTCAAGTCTACCCAAGATGATTTGGACACCATGCGCACAGAGTCTGCCAAGATTATAGCTGGCACCAAGGAACGAGCCGAGCTCATCAAGTCCCAGCAGCAACAACAAATCGATCGCTTGGAGAAGGAGCTGGCCCAATGCCGAGCCACTGCATCGCTGTCGGTTAATGATCGCGAGGCTGTGATAAGGGAGATGCAGGGACAATTGAACACCTTGTCTTATAGCTTCGATGCGGCCCAGAAGCAGATCAAGACCCTGCGCAATCACATCGCCTATGTGTCCAACGAGAACTGTTTCCCCGTCAAGTGCTAGGTGGGGATGACTGCCTGTGGAGGGTTGTGTATGGGATTCTTGCGTTTTTTAAAGCCTTACCTTGACATTCCCCTGAAAGCTTATAATTTGATCATGCTAAATTTGTTTGTCTAAATCGAAATCTCACTTAGAGTTAATAAATATATATGAATGGGAATCGAACCCCCTTCCTTTATATATTTTACTAGAAATTCCTTAAAACAAAGGCCTCTACTTATTGAAGATCTTTCCCTATCTTCTTTAAACCACAACCCACACTTTGTTTAATCTCTTATAAATATAAAACAATCAAAAGTCTTTGTTTTTCACGCTCCATAGGAAACAAATATATAGATATTGCTTTATTTTTTCTGGCAAATTTGAGAGGAACAAGCTACAAATGGTCGTTTCTTTAAAGAGGAGCTTATATTTTGGCGACTAAATGGCACACTATAAATAGATCTCTACAGCGATTTGACAGCCAGTCTCTTCATTTTGGGCGCATTCTTTTTGGCCTGACGCTTCTGCTCTTTGAGCTCCCAGCGGCGCTGCTTCTCCGGATCTTCATCGGCCAGGATGCGCTCCTTCTCCTGCTTGCGCTTATCCTCGCGACGCTGGGCAGCGGCCTCAGCACGGGCGGCATGAGTGCTCTTCAAGAACTCCTCCTCAACGCGAGCGCGATTTTTATCGGATTTGGCTTTGCCCTGGAATATAGTTTATTTTTAATAAAATTTAAGGATTTATATTATTGAAATTACCTCCTTGGACATGCGATAAGTCTTCAAGCGTTCCATCAAATAAAATATCAACAATAACAACGGTTTAATGGTCTCCATTTCGGCATGTTTGGGCAGGTTGAAGCCAGCCAGGAGCACGGCTTTGGTTTCCGGCTGTTTGAGCGTGCTAGAGCTCTCCTCCTGCTGGATGGGGCCACTGAATTGGTCCGAGATGTGCAGGTAATCGATATAGCTTTGGTACTTGTTAAGTGCAGTGATAACGCGTGATTCTAAAATGGCCGAGGTGGCCTCAGGGACCTCGGAGAGGACACCAAAGCCATTGGGTACATTGTAACGATCCTCGGGCTTACCAACTAGACTACAGAATTTGCTCTGCAAGGAGAAATTATTATAAAACTGATGGAAAAACAAGATTAATAATATAATTACCAAATCTGTATACTCCTTGAACACCTTGGTTATGGTCTTCTTGCTTCCCACAGCAAATACAAAGGCATCCATTACGCCGCGCGTTAGTTCAATTTTGATATGAGCCTGATCCAGCTGGGGTCGCATCAATCCCGCCACCAAAGACACCAGATCCTGTCGCTTGATCATCTTCAATTCCACAAGCATGCCCTCGCAACAGGTCCTGCCCGAGCACCACAACGTATACAGACTCTCGCTCTCCTTGATCAGTCCCGGATTCTCATTCTCCGCCTTGCCATCATCACCGACCAAAGCAAAGTTCTCGTCCAGGAGGGCTCTGTGAGTGCTGAACCAAAGCTGGGCCAAGCGAGCATTCTTGGTCTTGCCCGCAAAGAAGTTGGCAAAGTAGGCCAGGAGACCAGCCACCATGAGCATTTCCATCCAGTAGGAGTCCCAGTGGGTGCGGAAATGCAGGGGGATGTTGGGGATGTTGAGCTTGGGCTCAGCCTTCTGATCTATGGGCGGATCCTTGGCGTCGCCACCGTCATAGCCCTCGAATTCTTCCTCGTCCTGGAAATTTGTAGTTAAGTAAGGTTGAGTTTTAAGATTAGAGAGAGTTAGTTCTTCCTTATCTTAGTTACATAATAATGATAATCTTTCTTACAGACCTACAAAAACCCTAAAGTTTATAAAGAATTTTTACTACATTTAGTTCTTCCCTCGTTTTTCCTTAGCAAGGTGAAAGTATTGCAACCTTGTTTTCACATTCTCATGCATAATTAATGGCAATTAATAAATATTAATTAAGTAGCCAAGGGAACCTTATAAGACCTCAAACCAATAAGGTTCTTTCTCCCTGTTAGATTCTCACTATAAATTAAAAATAAAACCCCTACGTATCAGCTGCTCAACTTCCCACCCCCCCCCCCCAAACCCCCTCCTCAGGTGACCCACGTAACCCCTTTCTCACCTGGAAGTGCTCAAACTCATCGTCATCCTCTACCAGGCCATCTTCCTCCTCATCGCTCTCCACTGCTGCTTTACGTGGCTCTTGTGGTCCCTTTTCCCGGGACTCTTCGTGGCTAGTTCCTACTCCGCCGCCCGCAGAGGCTTCTGCACTCTTGGACGCCGGCTGCTCCGTGTAAAAGCTACCATCGAATTCATCATCAAATTCGGCAAAATCATCGTTGGAGTCTTCCTCGAAATCGTTCTCGGATCTGGTGCTGGCGAAGCACAGAAGCGCCAGCAGCAGGAAGGCGAATACTGGTCGCATCTTGGTCGGTGCTTGGGGTGCTTAACTTAAGTTACAATTTATCTAAATTTTGTCCTAAAGGTTCGTCACACTAATTAATGAAAAAAATCTAGGTTAAATTGGCAGCAGTGTGGCCGTAGTTCAATTGAACCAAAATACCACAAGGCTGAGCAAAGTAAACAAAGTAGAGAAAGAGGTAGTCGGAATGGTGATACCCTGTACTTTGTTGCATTTTTAATACAAGTTTGTGATTAAATGTTTAATTTTTTGGTAATTTAAATAAAAATATTTTTATAAATTATACAATATTAGATGGAAAATTATGCACACTAGCAAATTCAAGATTGAAATGTAATAAAGGAAATTCATATTTTCGAAGAGTTCAAAACATTTTTAATTTAGGACAATTTAAGACAAATTCATATCTTTACGTAAAAATACATTTTTTTAATAATAATTACTTTTTATTTTAAAAAATTAAATTAACAACAAAAGGTTTCTCTGCAAAGGTAGACCAACTATCGATTAATCGCTTGTGTCCATTATTTTCTTTTCAGCCACGGTCACACTGGCAGAGGTAAACACGTTGCACTGCAAATTAACTTTTTGTTAAGTGCTGTGAACTGAATAAAACAATTGTTTTAAACAATTGCAAGGTCCCTCAACCTTTCAACTATGGTAAGTACTTCTCGGAGAAACAAATCCCGGCGAGATGGATGACTCACCGAAAGTGCCACGAACACATGCCGCCGGCTGATGCAACTTCAGGCTGCGTTTCCAGTAGGCAAAAAATATGCTAATTTGTTTACATTTTTTAAATAAAAACAGGCCACAACTGAGCGAAAGGGCACCTTTAAGGTGGAGTACCTCCAGAAGATCGAACGAGAGGTCCAGGAGCGATGGGAGAAGGAGCGTGTCCACGAGTCGGATGCCCCAACGGCACCCAAGAAGCGGCAATCGGAGAAGTTCTTCGTCACCTTTCCGTTTCCCTACATGAATGGCAGGCTCCACTTGGGCCACACCTTCTCCCTGTCCAAGGCGGAGTACTCGGTGCGGTATCACCGCCTCAAAGGACGCCGCGTCCTGTGGCCCTTTGGCTTCCATTGCACTGGAATGCCCATAAAAGCATGCGCCGACAAGCTAACCCGCGAACTGGAACAATTTGGTTATCCGCCAAAGTTCCCAGAGATTGCAGATGAGGCTCCGGCGCCCGTGGAAACCAAGTCGGAGGTGCCCAAGGACAAGTCCAAGGGTAAGAAGAGCAAAGCGGTGGCCAAGACAGGCACGGCTAAGTACCAATGGCAGATTATGCAGAGTCTGGGTCTCAAGGATGAGGAGATCAAGGATTTCGCCAATGCGGAGCACTGGCTGAATTACTTCCCACCGCTGGCGGTGAAGGATCTCAAGCGGATAGGCGTGCACATTGATTGGCGTCGCACTTTTATCACCACGGATGCCAATCCCTACTTTGATTCCTTTGTCCGCTGGCAGTTTAATCATCTGAAGGAGCGCGGCAAGATCTTGTATGGCAAGAGGTACACCATTTACTCGCCCAAGGATGGCCAGCCCTGCATGGATCATGATCGCAGCACGGGCGAGGGTGTGGGTCCTCAGGAGTACACCCTTATCAAGATGAAGGTTCTAGAGAAGCCCAAGGCTTTGAGCTCCATCAAGGAAACTATTTACTTGGTGGCTGCTACCCTGCGTCCGGAGACCATGTACGGTCAGACCAACTGCTGGCTTCATCCGGATATCAAGTACATTGCCTGGCAAACCACTAAAAACAATGAAGTTTGGATTAGCACCAGGCGTGCAGCCCGCAACATGGCTTATCAGGGTTTTACTGCGGAGGAAGGAAACATTAAAGTGGTGGCTGAAGTCAAGGGTCAGGATTTGTTGGGTGTTTCCCTGTCTGCTCCCTTGACTCCACACAAGACCATCTACACCCTGCCCATGCTCAGCATCAAGGAGGACAAGGGCACGGGCGTGGTTACTTCAGTTCCCTCTGATTCCCCTGATGATTATGCTGCCTTGGTGGATCTGCAGAAGAAGGAGGCCTTCCGCCAGAAGTATGGTCTTACGGATGAGATGGTCTTGCCTTTTGAACCCATACCCATCATAGATGTGCCTACTTTGGGCAAACTGAGTGCTGTGCATGCCTATGAGACCCTGAAAATACAATCCCAAAACGACAAGGAGAAGCTGGCGGAGGCAAAGGAACTGTGCTACTTGAAGAGTAAGTCCAGGTTTGAGGGTGGGTTAACTAAAGTTTAACTGTTTTTCCCTTTCCCCTTGAAGGTTTCTATGACGGCGTCATGTTAGTAGGAGATTTCGCTGGCCGCAAAATCCAGGATGTCAAGAAGGATCTGCAAAAGAAACTTGTGGATGCCAATGAGGCTGACATTTACTACGAACCCGAAAAGACCATCATGTCGCGTTCTGCCGATGAGTGTGTGGTGGCCCTGTGCAACCAATGGTATCTCAATTACGGCGAGCCTGTGTGGCAAGCCCAGGCCACCAAGATCCTCAAGGATATGGAGACATTCCACGAAGAGGCGCGCAATAACTTTGAGGCTATCCTCAACTGGCTCCACGAGTATGCCTGCTCTAGAACCTATGGTTTGGGCACCAAACTCCCTTGGGATGAGCAGTGGCTGATTGAATCGTTGTCAGATTCCACCATTTACATGGCCTTCTATACAGTAGTGCATCTCCTGCAGGGCGGCACTTTCCGCGGCGAGAAGCCAGGACCCTTTGGCATCAAACCCTCGGACATGACGGCTGAAATTTGGGATTACATCTTCTTCAAGGAGACTCCCCTGCCCAAAAAGACCAACATCAAGGCGGAATATCTGGCTGTGCTGCGTCGCGAGTTTGAGTACTGGTATCCCTTGGATCTTCGGGTTTCCGGCAAGGATCTCATCCAGAATCACTTGACCTTCTGCCTGTACAATCATGCGGCCATTTGGCCCAACGATGAGACCAAGTGGCCCAAGGGTATGCGTGTAAATGGCCATTTGTTGCTCAATTCCGCCAAGATGTCCAAGTCGGATGGTAATTTCCTTACCCTAACCGAGGCGGTGGACAAGTTTTCGGCTGATGGCATGAGATTGTGTCTGGCGGATGCTGGCGACAGCGTGGAGGATGCTAATTTTGTGGAGAGCACTGCGGATGCTGGTATCCTGCGGCTGTACACCTTCATTGAGTGGGTCAAGGAGATGCTGGAGACGAGGAGCAGCCTGAGAAAGGGTGCGGAGAAGACCTTTAATGACAAGGTCTTTCTCAGTGAAATCAATTTGAAAACCCAGCAAACGGATGACAATTATCGCAAGATGTTGTTTAAGGAGGCCTTGAGGAGTGGCTTCTATGAGCTTCAGTTGGCCAGGGATAAGTACAGGGAGCTGTGCGGCTCTCAAGGCATGCACGAGGATCTGGTGCTGGAATTCATCCGTCGTCAGGCTTTGTTGGTGTCACCCATTTGTCCCCATGTGGCGGATCATGTCTGGGGTTTGTTGGGTAACAAGGAGTCCATTGTTCATGCCCGTTGGCCCGAGGTGGGTGACATCAATGAGTTGGACATTATGTGCTCGGAATACCTCATGGAAGCAGCTCACTCTTTCCGCTTGAACCTGAAGAACTTGCAGCAGCTGAAAAGCAAAGCCAAGGCTGTGGATCAGCCGCGGGAAAAACCCAATCGTGGCTTGATTTGGGTGGCCAAAACCTATCCTCCCTGGCAGTGCTGTGTCCTGGACACCATGAGGGAGTTGTTTAACAAAACCCAATCCCTGCCGGATAACAAAGTCATTGCTGCCACACTGCAACAAAAAGCGGAGTTGAAGAAGTTCATGAAGCGGGTGATGCCTTTTGCTCAGATGATCAGGGAGAAGGTGGAGTCCGGCAAGGGTGTGGCTGCCCTGGCTGTCAATTTGGAGTTTGATGAGCGTCAGGTGCTCATCAGCAATGTGGATTACCTCAAGAATACACTGGATGTAAGTCGGAATGAATTTTATATCATAATATCCTTAAAATAATCTTCGTTCCCAGCTCGATGTCCTCGAAATCAAGTATACAGATGACCCCTCGGCCCCGGAGAAAACCCGTGAGGAAGTACGTCCTGGCTCGCCCTTCATTAACTTTACCGTGGCTCCAAATGTCAGCGTTGAGCTCACAAATCCCATTGAACGTTCCTCACTCTTCCAAGTCAACACTGTCATCTCCGAGGGCGACACAGTCAAGTCGCTGCGGGAAAAGCTTTCCAAAATCATTGGCCTGAAATCGGATGCTGCGGTTAATCTTAAGATTTGGCGTTATGATGATCCTCTTTTGGGTCCCCGGAAGATACCCAACTTTGAGGATTACAAAGCGGGCAAGAGTGTCCTGGGTGAGGGCAACTTTATCCTGGATGTGGACAACAAGAAAGTGAGCCTGGAGCAGGGCGGCAAGCAGACAGAAGTGGGCAGGAATCTAATCTATGTTGTGGACTAAAGAGAAAGAGCATCACTGGGTTCGTAAGCGAACTTGAAACCTTGTAAAACACACAAAATCGTTGGCTTTTAAAATAAAGAAATTATGATTTTTTTTTATCAACGAAAATGATTACCAAAGTAAAGGTAAAGTTTGTACTTATTACCCATTTTTTCTATCTTTTATTTTTTATTTAACAAAATTACTTAATTTTTAAGTCAAAATTCGGGTTTTTGACTTTTAATATTAAGAAAAAATTAGGAAAAAATTGTAAAAATAAAAACTCCACGGGAGTAACTCGGTACCACTTAGCCTAAATATCTAAATATTATTTTGTTTTGCACCCCCCTTAAAAAAAAAATACAATTTATTTTAGCCTTGTAATTAACCCCAATTGACAAGGTTAAAACCTGAATGAACCCTCTTTTCAAAGCCTTTACTGTGTCAAGTACCAGATAAGCTTCAACAGTATAGCTTCCCAGCGGGTCACCGCCCTAACCCACTGAGAGACTATCACTAATCCCCGCAAGAAAGCCTATAAAAAGCTCTTTCTTGGCTTTAAGTGGCATAGTTTAAACCATGTTGGGCCTCCGTTTGTTTCTATTGCTGCAGTGCAGCATTTTTGTTTTCGGAGGCGTTTGCTTGATTCCTCAACCCATAATGAGACAGCGCTCTCTGAAGGATAATGTGGCGAAAAACTGGATATATTCACCCCGCCTGGATGGTCGCATAGTGGGAGGACATCGCATTAATATCACCGATGCACCACATCAGGTTTCATTGCAGACTTCAAGTCATATTTGTGGCGGTTCCATAATATCCGAGGAGTGGATATTGACGGCGGCGCATTGTACTTAGTGAGTTTAAGTTAATACTTGATCCTTTTTAGTTTTAAATAATTTATTTATATTTTATTTTTATTTATTTTCCCTCGTTCTTAGTGGCAAAACAGCAGACCGCTTGAAGATTCGCCTAGGCACCTCTGAATTTGCCCGCAGTGGCCAACTTTTGCGTGTCCAGAAGATCGTCCAGCATGCCCAGTTCAACTTCACCAATGTGGATTACGATTTCTCCCTGCTCCAGCTGGCGCATCCCATCAAATTCGATGAGACCAAAAAGGCCATAAAGCTGCCGGAAGCCCAAATGAAGTTCATGGATGGACAGACCTGCTTTGTCAGTGGTTGGGGTAACACACAGAACCTGCTGGAGTCCCGGGAATGGCTGCGCCAGGTGGAGGTACCTCTGGTTAACCAGGAGCTGTGCAGTGAGAAGTACAAGCAGTATGGCGGTGTGACTGAGCGTATGATTTGTGCTGGGTTTTTGGAGGGTGGCAAGGATGCCTGCCAAGGTGATTCGGGTGGACCGATGGTCAGTGAATCCGGCGAGCTGGTGGGTGTGGTTAGCTGGGGTTATGGCTGTGCTAAGCCTGAATATCCGGGTGTATACTCGCGGGTGAGTTTCGCCAGGGATTGGATCAAGGAGCACAGTGGTGTGTGAGAAGCCTTTAAAAGAAAATTAATAAAAGAACGAATGAAACTATAGAAAAACTTGATTTTTTAATTAATTATGTATTAAGAAGTATTTTAAAGCTGAATTTAAATAGTAATTACATTTTCCTTTACTTTAATCTCAACACCCATCAAAAATCGCCGACCTAGTCCCCAGTTCCCCTTGATATTCCCCCCCAAAAACCATTTCATAATGTGCTATTTTCCCAGGAAAATTCCCACACGTTGCCAGCACGCAGACAACTTGCCACACACGCGACCTCCTGCCTCTCGCACACTCGGCCGGCGCATGTCGCGTTGTTCGCCCTGAGCTCCTTGCTTGGCCACGTTAAAAGGATGGCGACATGGCCGCATGGGTTCTGGGACTTGCTTGACTGGGCTTTGCCTCCAGAGATTGCATCTCAATAGTTTTTCGTTTTAGTTAAGGCTTTGTGAATGGGCTTATCGGATTCTAAGAGAGAGAGAGAGAGTTCATGTGTTACATGCGGCGTATACGCAATTATTTGCATTACGTATACGTCCAGGGGCCAGGGCAAGTTTGTATCCGCGCCAGCATGAACGAACAATTTAAAATGCAATCAGCTCACTTTCCTGCTGACCGGATTCTCCCCTCTTTATTGTTTAGTGTTTACTTGGTGATAAATTAGCTGTGAAAAATTAACATTATGTGTTGCACAATTTAGATGTTTTTGTACTTGCACAGCCTTGATCGCCGCACAACTTACGTTTGCTAATCATGGAAACCTTTTGTTGATCAGTTCAAGTGGGTTTAATAATTGTAGGTTTTATTGTGTTACTATCACTTTTCCTTTTTGTTTTTTTCTATTTTCCGAGAGATGTTAAATAAATAATTGAAAGGTTAACTAGGTTAACTAACCATGATATAAGCTATTATTTAATATTTAATTTATTCTTTTAAGAATTAAGGTTTTGAAAAAAATTTAAATGAGAGCAGAGAGTGTATAGAAGAATATTTAAAATGATAGCAGAGAGAGGATAGAGGAATATTTAATAGTAACTATATTATTTTTTTATTAAGAAATTAACGCGTAATACAAATTTCTTGAAATTTCAATTTTGCTATAGCAACTTTAGGTCTTGAACTATATTATTATTCTTACAAATAGAAAAATAAAATTATTATTATTATTATTTTTATATTATGTCTATTTATTATCATACTATTTTAGAGTTCTAAAAATATTCTATAAATATATTTATATTTTTCAAATACAATTATTTTCAGTGCATCGAAGCTACTTACTTATAATTTCTATGGAAAGTTTTCCTAGTTTTTTTGAAACTTTTTAAAAAGATACAAATATTTTTTCACATGCTTTTGAAATCACTAACTTCCTGCCAATGAACGTAAAAATTAATTATATAAAATTAAAAATTAATTATATATGTATTATATAATTTTTTTCGTTGTCTATACCTCTTAACCCCAACTCTTAGAGGAAATAAACAGCAAAAGTCATGTTGAATAACATTCTGGTCAAATAAAAATGCACTTTATTGCGTTTATGTGAGACTCCTCCATTAACCATACACTCTCTCTGGCCTGCGGGAGAAGTGAGCCCCCAGACCCACCAATTCATTTCGTTTCCAGTTGATTTGCAGCCGCGATTCGGTGTTGACGTGCTTGTTGTTCTACCAGCGAGAGAAGTACTTGTATAAATACTATACTATATTTGTAATATACACCGCTCAATGCGTATACGCCGCGTGTGCCCGCTGCCAACTGTTGATTCCCTTCGGCTCGATTCTTGAAAAGGATTAGGCAACGGATGGGCAACAACAACAGCAGCCTAGGAGCGACATCATCATCATCATCTGCGGCAGTCAGAGCCGAGCAAAAGTCACCCTGACGAAGCCTACGAACGAATCAATTCGGTGGCAAGAATTTGTGTTTTTTTTTGTAGCTAAGGAGAAACGCTTAGGACTGCACTGAGAGAAATCAATGAGCTAAATTGAGAATTTTAATATGTAGTACAGAGATAAGTGTATATAATATGCATTAAATTAATCATATATATTTGATGTATTATTTTGTAATTTTTTGTTATTATAAAAAGGTCTTAAAAAATGTTTTATAGTTAATAAAATAAATTTCTTCTATAAAATTCTTTGATGGAAGATATATTTTTTATAATTTTTTTTTTGAAAAGGGTATTATAATAATTTTTAAATATTAAAAAAATATATTTAATATTTATTAAAGAAATTTTAAAAAATTACAAATTTCATTTTTGAGGAAATCAATCAGGAGAATATTATTAGCTCAATTGATTTCTTTATTTTTATTCAATGAAACCATTTTACATCTACAATATCAACCCTTTTTGGTTACCTACACCTTATTTTTCCCAGTGCCACCTTATAGCTCCGACTGACTGTTGCCGTTTGTTTCCCAGAGTGTTCTCCGTGTTTTCCTCCGGCGCTGGTTATTCATGGTTATCGAACACTCGCTGGGTCGGCGGGCGAAATAAACGTGCGGCACGTTGCCGCTACACGTGAGGTTTCGCGAGCGGCGAGCCAGCGAGAATCCGCTCTCACGAACACACAAAGCGAACACTTGTGGCATCTCACGTTGCCCCCCTGTGTGTGTGGGTGTCTTTTCTCTCAGTGTGTGCACGTATCTGTGAGATGCATTTGTATCTGACTTGGGTTATCGTGCCAGAACCCAGCTCGCATTCAGCATTGTGCGTTCCTAGAAAGCGGTTCGTTGAGCGGATTAAAAATATAAATTATTATTTCAACTCTTAACTGAATAACTCTCTTATAAATAAAACTCAAACTTCAGAGAATAAACTATAAATTGGTAAATAAAATTAAAAATAAAGTCAATAATCTGTGGAAATATTTATAAATGAATTAAAAAAAAAAAAATTAAAAAGAATTAAGTGCTTAATGTTGGTAATTGAAAAAATTGCAATAAATTGCAATTGTGAGAGTGTCTCTTTAGTGATTCATAGCTCAACATTGCTCCTGCTCTTTTTCTCTCAGTGGTTTTTGAAATAATATAAAAGAGTGCAAACTACTTGTTATTGTTGTTTTGGCATTTTATGTAAGTCAGATTTAATGAAAGAAAATGCTAATAAAGATAGAACAAGAGCGACAACAAATAAATAAAAATTAAGTGAATAATAAATTCAAATTAAATAAAAAATTAATGAGTATAAAAAATCGATAATTAAACATCAAAAATAAAATAAGAGAGCAAAGAGAAAAGTGTTTTGAAAAGTTACATATTATTTCATGTATATTAAATTAATTTTAAAATACTTACTAAATTACTATTATTATCAAAATTATATTAATAAATTTAAAAATATTTACAGATATAAATAAAACACCAAAACTAGCACAAGTCTACAAAGAAACCCAACAAGTGCTTAAAGAAAAGCTCATAGAAACCAATATAAACAATTGACGAAAATTGCGAACTTAAAGTTTTTAATTAAACTTAAAATAACTTCAAATAAACATCACAGTGTAACGATCATTAAAGTGCAACAATAATAAAACAACAACTAGGTAAGAGAAAAACCCCTGAGAATTTTTAAACTCTCTCAAAAAACACGACCTAGCACAGTCAGAATATAATTAACCCCTTTTATGCTTTAAAACTCATACAAAGCTTTAAAAAGCTAAATCAGCTTTTGCTTAGGCGCTGAAATTTAAATATTTTTCTTTACAATTTAAATTGTAAAAAATTAAATTAAAATTCAAAGGGTTTTTCCCCTTCATTTTGTACCTGCCATTCAACCCCTCGCACAACTCTTATGTAAATTGCAGTCACTGAACTGAACAGAAAGGAGGCTTGGCCTTCGAGGAATTTCCTGTCAAATGCAGGTTACAAGAAAATCACAGAAAATCCGGAAAACACCCCCCAAGTCCTTCTGCTAACGACAGGACGCAGATGTTGATCAATCAGCTTTCAGTTTTCTATTCAAATTGGCATTGCAAATTACACGCACATTTTTTCTGTTCTTAAATATTTATTCTTTTTGCTAAAATCTATCTTCGCTTTCCGTTTCATATGCTAATTTTTGAATTTTTTTTAGTGCTCGAGGAATTGCCTCAATGAATTTTCCCTTTTTTGCGAAAGAATGAAAAACCTTCTCGCTGGCAAAATAAAAAAAAACCGACTAAATTTTCAATGCGCATATCATTTTGTAGTGTTGGCAGCTTTGTGTTTTTTATGTAAGTTTTGTTCTGTCTTTGATTTCATAACCAAGTCAGCGGAAATGGTATTGAGGTTGCCACAAAAAGTTCTATATAAAATGGTTTTTAGTGGATTAAAATATGATTATGCTGGAGTGGAGGGTTTAATTTAGTTAGATTTATTTAGTTTTGGGAAGTTATTTAAGTTATAAAATGTTTTTTGAGGCTTAGTTTTTTAAATAAACTAAGAAATTGTTGGTTTTTTAGGTGTTAAATTAGATCTATATTTTTTTTAAATAATTTATTTATACATTCTTTAAGGGGGTCTTCTCATTGGGCAACTTTTTTTTTTTTTTTTTTTTTTTTTTTGCATTTATTTATAGCTTGGGATGGTGTGTATATGTCCCCAAAAGGATTTTTAGAAATTCGAAATACTTTAGAAGATACAGCCTTTTTTGTGAAGCAAGTTCTTCGCAAAATGAGCTTTTTTCAAACTTCAAACGCGTTTATCTCGAAACCACGTTTTTCGAACTGGCGGCCATGATATCTCCAGTTCAACTGAACCGATTTTCATGAAACAAAGTGGAGTCGACGCAGAATTGTCACCATTCTCGGGTGACGGAACAGATTTTTTTTAATTTTTTTTTCTTTTTTTTTTTTACACTAAACTACAAAAAAAAAAGCCCGAAATCGAAATTTTTTTTTTAATGACCGCCATTTTGTTTAAAAAAATTTTAAAAAAAATCTGTTCCGTCACCCGAAAATGACATCAATTCTGATTATAACCCCGTTTTTATTTTTCATTTCGGACGCTCTGGAGACCCTGAATCGTGGCCGCCAGGACGACACCTTTTTTTCGACCACCAAGTTTGAAGTCTCATTACTCTTTGAACAACCCTCGTATCGAGGCAAGAACAACTTTTTTAGTTACTTTGAACATTTTTGAATACAATAAATAAAAAAAGTTTTCAATTATTCTTTGCGTTTTCAAATAAGAATTTTTTTAAAAAGCGTCCAAAAAACGGCTTTTGAATGAGAAGACCCCCTTAAGTATAGACCTCTTTTAAAGTCGAGTTTCTTGGACTTAATTCATTTTAATATATTTTTTAATACCATTTTTTTCAAATAGTACTTAAATAATATAAAGTAAAATCTATATAATTCATTTTTATTATTCAAACATTTTTTTTTAAATATTTTATTCCATCTAGTATTTATTTTGACCCCATTTTCTTTTGGTTTCCCTTCAAAAACTTTCCATTGCTATTTATTTGTTCTCCATTAAACGTGCCCGCCCAAAAGCTGGCTGCACACTTTGTGTCTGCCAGGTTGAGGCTTTTGTTGACAAAAATATAAACTGCAACGGCAACCTGTTGAATTTACCGGCGGAAACGTTTCAAAGTCAGCAAAGTGTAAGGAACGAAGGAAGCCACACAAAAGGCCCAGGACCTGCTGCGACGCCATTCAGCCATCTTAATGGAGGCTCTATAAATATCGCAGCAGGGGGTCGTCGAGTCGTGGCATATATATTGTGGGTTATTGGAAGTTAAAGGATATTGTTGCTGCCACATTGTGACTAAGAAAAGCTATTGTTGATGTAAAATTTATTCGGTTAAACTTGTTGCCTTTATTGAGGATTGTATCCATATGTGGTACATATTTATATCGAAAGGAAAATTCCGATTTCGCTTTTGAAAAAATTATTAAGCTTAATATCTTACGAAAAAGTATCATAATATAATACAATAATATATCATTTTATAATATAAATATCACAGACGATCGAATTTAATGTTAAAATATCGATATAGTTGATAAATCTCCGATATGAATTTAAAGTTTTACCGATTTCGCTGCTTGGATTTATTTTCTTGTGTTTCTATTTCATTTCAAGCAATAAATACCTTTTTGATATTTTGTTTTTATTTATTATTAATTAATTAAATTTATTATTAATTAATTTATTGCTTTCTAATATTTCTATGATATTTATATACATTTTAATAATGTTGTTTTCTCAGATTAATTTGATATTGACTTTAAATAATCCTTAATTGTTTCTAAAATTCTTGCTGTTTTTCCCAATATTTTCCCTCCTATTTCCCTCCAATTTCTCTTATTTTTTCATATTGTTTTTCCTGTTGTTGTTGTAGAAATTGTTGCTTCTGCTACTGCCACTTCCTTTGTCCTCCAACTGCGCTGTTTACACAATCAGTCGCCGGGTTTGTGTGTCTGCCAAGTCAGTCACATGCGCCAGGCGGGTGCCGTCGTGGCTCTCTCACCCGGTGCAAGCTTGGTTGGTTACGTGATGAAGGCTGGTCTTGGGTTTGGGTTAACCCACATTTTTTTACCTGCCCGTGAAAAGTGTGGCTTCTGGGAATTTTTTTATATTTTTTTCGGGGCTCGTCTCGTAGGCTGACATTTTATTTTTTTGGGGGTGTGTTCTGAGATTCTTGGATCAGCGGGTGGTAAATGGGATAAAGACACGCTGCCGGGGCACGTGTGTGACTTTAAATGGGAGTCTGATGCGGATTCGGCTTTCATCCTGCAAATGCTGCACATTGCATGGACTGCGCCCTTGCAATGGTCACATGCAATGTGGTTGGTCGAGGCTTTTGTTCCGCTTTTGTTTGCGATTGCGTTTATTTATGGAACAGCAAACGACGTGTGGTGGCTCACTTTTTGATTGTATAATTAAATATTTCTGCACTGGACAGCAGTAATTGGGTGATAGCTATTTTTGGCATAGTCTCAGGGATGAGTTACGATGAGCAAGGCTTTTAATTATAGACAAAGGGTTGAGTGACCTTTTACGGGGATTTTGTTTGAGTTCTATAATTAGTTGTGTTTTGTTATAGAAGAAAAGGTTTTAGATTTCTTATATAAAAGTATTAAATATACTTATTATTTTTTTCTAAAAATATTTTAAAGGTTTTAGGAAGGTTTTTTATTAAATAAAGATAGATAGATAATTTTAACTCTGCTAAAATAGTTTTCAACATTTGAATATTTATTTAAAATTAATTAAAAAGTTTTTTTTGCTCTTTTGTTTCTTATTTTTATTAGCTTTTTATATTCTTAGATTTATTAAAACATTTTTCAACAATTTTCTTTACAGATCCTGCGCTTAATTGTCAAGGAAATCTTTTGATGTTTGCCAACAACAATGAGCAGAGGTAGGCAGCTCAAGCATCACATTTGGAATAATCAAAATTATAAAGAGTAAAAATCAAACCGGTTATGGACTGGTTACTAGCAACGCCGCAGTTGTACAGCGCCTTCTCCTCCTTGGGCTCCCTGGAGGGTGACACTTATGTGGTCAACCCAAATGCGTTGGGTGAGTTGATTAGTAATTGATTAAATTAATTAAAAATAAATGAAATAATAATAATAATTAATAATAATAATAAGACATTCAAATCCAATGATAAACCATAAATTAAAAACAATTTTTTTTGCTATTTCCCCAGCGATTCTGGAGGAGATCAACTACAAGCTAACCTATGAAGACCAAACGCTGCGCACCTTTCGCCGTGCCATTGGCTTCGGGCAGAATGTGAGATCGGATTTGATACCGCTCCTGGAGAATGCCAAGGATGATGCTGTGTTAGACTCAGTCATCCGCATCCTGGTCAATCTGACGGTCCCCGTGGAATGTCTTTTCTCTGTGGATGTGATGTACCGAACAGATGTGGGTCGCCACACCATCTTCGAGCTAAACAAGCTCCTCTACACCAGCAAGGAGGCCTTCACCGAGGCCAAAAGCACCAAGAGCGTGGTGGAGTATATGAAGCACATCCTGGAGTCGGACCCCAAGCTATCGCCGCACAAATGCGATCAAATAAATAATTGTTTGCTGCTCCTGAGGAATATCCTACACATACCAGAGACTCATGCCCATTGCGTGATGCCCATGATGCAGTCCAGTGGTCCGCATGGCATCTCCATGCAGAATACCATCCTGTGGAATCTGTTTATCCAAAGCATAGACAAGCTCCTCCTGTATCTAATGACCTGTCCTCAACGAGCCTTCTGGGGCGTGACCATGGTGCAGTTGATAGCCTTGATCTACAAGGATCAGCATGTGAGCACCTTGCAGAAGCTGCTCAATCTCTGGTTCGAGGCCTCGCTCTCGGAGAGCTCCGAAGACAATGAGAGCAACACCTCACCGCCCAAGCAGGGTAGCGGAGACTCCAGTCCCATGCTCACGTCCGATCCCACTTCGGATTCCTCGGACAATGGCAGCAATGGCCGTGGGATGGGCAACAAGCGTGAGGGCACCGAGGCCACCTTGCAGGAGGTGAGCCGCAAGGGTCAGGAATATCAGAATGCCATGGCCAGAGTACCAGCGGACAAGCCTGATGGCTCAGAGGAGGCCAGCGATATAACCAGTGAACTTCCTGGTTCACCGGAACAATCACAACCCGCCGGGGAGTCCATGGATGATGGTGATTATGATGATCAGCATCAGCAGATGCTGAGGCAAGATGATGAGGAGGAGGATGACGAGGAGGAAGATGAGGAGGAGCTAGAGGAGGAGAAGTATTTGCGAATGGCACGCGACTCGGAGCCCTTGAACCTAACCCAACAACAACCACAACAACAACAACAACCAGCTGACAATGTCAACAACACTACCACAAACATGGACACCAGTGCCATGAATGAACCCTTCAAGCCGCCGCCACCGCTGCCTGTAAGAGCCTCCACCTCGGCCCAGGCTCGGGATCAGATGCATCAGTACAACGAGTCCTCCTACTCGAGCCATGTATCGGCTGTGAAGCTGGGCCAGAAGTCCCCCCATGCCGGTCAACTGCAGTTGACCAAGGGCAAGTGCTGCCCTCAGAAGCGGGAGTGTCCCTCCTCGCAATCGGAGCTCTCGGACTGCGGCTATGGCACTCAGGTGGAGAACCAGGAATCCATCTCCACCTCCAGTAACGATGACGATGGCCCGCAGGGCAAGCCTGCCCATCAGAAGCCGCCGTGCAACACAAAGCCCAGGAACAAGCCCAGAACGATTATGTCGCCGCAAGACAAAAAGGAGCTGCGACGCAAGAAGCTGGTCAAGAGGAGCAAGAGTAGTCTGTGAGTGGGGAATATAATTTATAGTTTTTTAATTAAATATTTTAATAATTGTTTTATTAATTTAGCATCAATATGAAGGGTCTGGTTCAGCACACGCCCACCGATGAGGATATATCCAATCTTTTGAAAGAGTTTACAGTGGATTTCCTGCTTAAAGGCTATAATTATCTGGTGGAGGAGCTGCACAGCCAGCTGCTGTCCAATGCGGTAGGTGATACTTCTTGGAGATGTTTTTTTAGGAAATGCCTAAGACTTATTTTTTATATTTTTTTGTTTATAAAAACCTACAAATGATTCAGAACAAGGTGAAATTATGAATATTTATCAAGATTTTAAAGTATTTTTATAACAAAAGTACAAGAAATGTAGAATATATTGTTTTTAATTATCAGAAGTTTAACTTTTTAAATTATTTTCGATTTTAATTTTATTTTAAACAGTGTAATATTCGCTTGAAATTTTCAAAATAGAGTTATATATCTGCTCTTTTAAATTATAATAATTTAATTTATTAATTTTTAATTTTTTTAAGTAAACAATTTTAATGAAATAAAATTTAATAAACCCCTAAAATACTTCACAAAACTAATCCCATTACATTGCCCTCAGAAGGTGCCCATAGATACATCTCACTTTTTCTGGCTGGTCACATACTTCCTAAAGTTTGCCGCCCAATTGGAGCTGGACATGGAGCACATCGACACCATACTCACCTACGATGTCCTCAGTTACCTGACCTACGAGGGTGTGACTTTGTGTGAACAATTGGAACTGAATGCTCGCCAGGAGGGTAGCGACCTCAAACCCTACTTGAGGCGAATGCATTTGGTGGTAACGGCCATAAGGGAGTTCCTTCAAGCCATAGATACCTACAATAAGGTTACCCATTTGAATGAAGACGATCGAGCCCATTTGAGACAGCTGCAGCTGCAAATAAGCGAAATGTCCGATTTGAGGTGTCTGTTTGTGCTGCTCCTGAGACGCTTTAATCCCAGCATTCACTCCAAGCAGTATCTGCAGGACTTGGTGGTGACCAATCACATACTCCTGCTGATCCTAGACAGTTCAGCCAAGTTGGGAGGAGGTCAAAGCATACGTCTATCGGAGCATATATCACAGTGGGTTTTTTTAGGATTTAAATAAATAATTTATATATTTTATAAATAATATATTTTCCGCAGATTTGCCACTTTGGAGGTAATGCACTATTATGGAATCTTGCTGGAGGACTTTAACAATAATGGGGAGTTTGTCAATGATTGCATTTTCACCATGATGCATCATATAGGCGGTGATCTGGGACAGATTGGTGTTCTGTTTCAACCCATTATATTGAAAACCTATTCAAGAATTTGGGAGGCCGACTATGAATTGTGTGATGTAAGTTTTCATAGAAAAGTAAACAAATTCCCTTAAAAACATCTTATTTATATTATTTTTCTTGACAGGATTGGTCGGATCTCATCGAATATGTCATTCACAAGTTCATGAATACTCCCCCAAAGTCACCGTTGACCATTCCTACCACTTCTTTGACGGAAATGACCAAAGAACACAATCAGGAGCATACCATTTGGTAAGGATTAAGATGCTTTACGTATGAGCAATATATTACGTATACGCCCTGTTTTATTTAAGTTAAAAAAAACTAGGTTTTTAAGGTTTAATAAACAAAGAAAACGTAATTAATAATGGTGGAGCATTTAGGTGCGGCATTTAGTGTTTTATTTTAGAATTATTTCTGAAGCCCTTACTTAGGTTTACTTTAAATAATTCAAGGAAACTGGACTTTAAATGTAATTATCTTTTTAATTTTATTAAATTGGGAATAACAATTACTAACAAATATATTAAAAATGTATGTTTATAATTTTCAAAAGCTTAATAACCAAATTTTGTATAAAAATGCAACCCCTACAAACCTATTTTATTTGCAAAAAAATTTATATAAATAAGTTAGTTAGTTTGGTAGAAATATTTAAATGTTTCTTTAAATATCGATATCTAATTTTATATTATATAATTTATTCATTAATTTTACTATTAGCTCTTGGTCTCAGGAGGAAATGGACACACTGTATTGGTATTATGTGCAAAGTAAGAAGAACAATGATATTGTGGGTAAAATTGTAAAGCTATTCAGTAACAATGGCAACAAACTGAAGACCAGGATCTCTATAATACAGCAACTATTGCAGCAGGTAAGCAGAGTTTAATATTTATTAAATATTTATTAATTAAATTATTGTCTATAGGACATTATAACCCTGTTGGAGTACGATGATCTGATGAAATTCGAAGATGCCGAGTACCAAAGGACTTTACTTACTACACCAACTTCGGCCACCACAGAGTCTGGAATAGAGCTCAAAGAGTGTGCCTATGGCAAGCCCTCGGATGATGTACAGGTGGGTTTTCCTTGGGATTTAAACTATATTTTATTTATATTATTATATATTATTTTAAAATATTTTCTTATAACATCTCCCCCCTTTTCAGATCCTTCTCGACTTAATCATCAAAGAGCACAAATCCCAGCACCTTGTCTGGCTTCAAAAGATCCTCCTCGAGTGCTGCTTCATCAAGCTGACCCTTAAGAGTGGCCTTAAGATACCCGAAGGAGATCACATCATGGAACCTGTGGCCTATCATTGCATTTGCAAACAGAAATCCATTCCCGTAGTTCAGTGGAACAATGAACAGAGTACGACGATGTTGTATCAGCCCTTTGTATTGCTCCTGCACAAGTTGGGCATCCAATTGCCGGCGGATGCGGGTTCAATCTTTGCCAGAATACCAGACTATTGGACACCGGAGACCATGTATGGTTTGGCCAAGAAGCTGGGACCTTTGGATAAACGTGAGTTAACTTCATCCCACACATGCAAAACACCTAAGCAAAAATCTTTGTCATGTCTTTCCAAAAAGGTGAAAACAAATATTAAAGAGAGGGAAAGGTTTATTTGATTTTATTTTTAAAATAAATATTTTAACTATTCTGAATTTAAAATTAAGAAGCTAATTTATTTGGATATCCTTATTAAATATTAATTTTAGAAAAATTTTCTAAACCTTCCTCATTTTTTTTGTACGCACCTCTTTCTCTGTGTGAATTTTTGATCATGGAAATCTCGCCCCGTATCTGAATCCGAAACCTGAATCTCCATTCCATTCCCATTCTCATCGTGTGTCCGTCGGTGTATCTCGATATGCTGTGTGCCTCTCTCCTTCTCCTCCTTCTGGGCTCTTATAGTGCAACTCAAGTTCGACAGCAGCGACCTGGAGGATGCCACAGCCGCGAGTCCGGCCAGGTATCATCACACTGGACCCAGGAACTCCCTGAGCTCGGTGAGCAGTCTGGATGTGGATCTGGGAGAGCCAGAAGAGCTGGCCCTGATACCCGAGGTGGATGCTGCAGTGGAGAAGGCCCATGCCATGGAATCAACGCCGCCGCCAACTGAGATCTTTGCGGTGCCCAAGACCAAGCACAGTAATTCGATAATCAGGTGAGGAAAATATTATTAATTATATTTAATTTGTTTATTTTACTAACCAAATCCACCTGATTTTTTATAGATACACGCCCGATCCCACGCCGCCTATACCCAACTGGCTGCAGTTGGTCATGCGCAGTAAATGCAATCAGCGCTCGGGCTCCGGCTCGGGTCCAGTCTCTGCTGATCCCAGCGATTGGTAAGTGCATTTCCACATTGCATCCATATCCAGACCCAACGGGGCGACCTAGCCCAACCTTAACTCAGCCGAGACAATGCCAAAAATCTTCAGATTTATGGCACACGGCAGCCGTTAAGGCTCTTGGAACATATTGTTAACACGAAGCGCGAGCTCTGCTCTCTCTCTGCGAAAACTGCATAAACTGCTGGCGGAAAATTACAGTTGGTACGAGACTGCTGCAATCTGAAAAACTGCTAAATCCAAAAGTTTGCACTGCGATTTATGAACTTTGCGGCCCCCAGCGGCACTCGTACATTTACTTTCGTGTGTTGACAGTTGTTGTCGCCAGTTGCACACTAAATGTCAGCTCCGTTTTGGCCATTGTGTCTCAGGCGGAGGCCCACTACGTCGTCCAGTTGGAGTGTAGCCTTCCCCTTTAGAACTGGATACACTGGGGGAATATAAGGGGGTTTTTTAAATAATAAAATTTAAAAACCTAAAAATATGGGAAAATTCATTATACATTTTTTTTAGAGAATTTTATTATGTAATATTTAAAATTTTGTTTATTCTAAAAATTAACTAATTAGCTTCTGAATAATGACCCAAAGTTCGTCCAATAAAACCAATGCTTTATTTTGGTTTATTAAAAAATATTTTAAAGTTCATCAAGAAAATAAATCAAATTCTATACGGAAAATTCATTAATTCATTCTGAAAATAATCAAACATTCCAAAAATAAACAATAGTTCATTTAAAAAATATATTATTTACAATTTATTTAAATACAAAAATAAATGTTAGTCCGAGATTAGATAGAAATTCCTACAAAAAATGATTAAATGTTCCTGAGTAAAATGAACCAATATTTATCTTGAAAATAAACAAATATTCATCTTGAAAATGTACCACTTTTCATCCTTCAAAATAAACATATTAATAATTTTTAAATATAATTTTGAATAACAATCCAAAAAATAAACATATATTCTTCTAAAAATTTAGTGTAAAAAAAAAGTTCATCCCAAGTAATACCCTATTTTTTTACCTGTGCATCTTAACCGCTGTCTGGCAATCTATCTAGATGCATATAGAGTATGTGTATCTCATCCGCTTTGGCCATATGTGTCCGTATTATTTTTGGTCCGACTCCTCGTCTACCTCTTCCGCCTCCCGTCACCACCCATTCAACCTTCTACCGTCTCTGTCTCTCGTCTGGAGACCCCACACGAACCGACGACCCGCTGCTGTTTGGTGGACAACTGCTGCTCCTTACGATTCCGATTCCAATTCCAATTCCAAATCCAATTCTGATTCCAAAGCGCGGTCATGTTGAACAGCAACATTTTGCATTTCGGGGTTTATGACTTTTTATGTATGGCATTTTGTTGTTACACCAAGCCAGAGTTAGATTGGCGATAAATAGTTGGACATAGAGCGATGGTAGAGGATAAGGTGAAGTATATTGGTTCCGCTGGAGAACACGCCTTGGGTATAAATCCCAAATGAAGGCTAAAGCCTATGCTAATTTCGGCTATTTAATTTGAGTTGCAATTTGGAGTGTTTGCTGATTGATATCGTAACCATTAAAGGCAGACCCAGTTTATGGCTATAAAAATAAGAATAATTAAGTTTGATTTTCAATTACTTGATGGGGATTTTTTATTAGGGTTTTGATATTAAAATATATAGAGGGTTTCGTTTAGGTGTAAAATTTAATTGTTTAAATTTAAATTGGTAATTTTTGAGGCCAATTAAATGAAACTAAATTAAATTATATTTAATTGGGGTAAATAATAAATGTCTTTAGACACTTTTAGGCTTTAAATTAGTTAGTTAACTGTGTTAAAATTTTTTTAGAAATTATAATATATATTTTACAAAATTATTATAATATTTTAACATTTTCCTGACAATTTTCTTAGGCTTAATTTGCTAATTTTATTTCTTATAAGTTAATTTTATATATTTTTTAAGCTTCCCAAAACCAAACCTCCCTTTTTCATTTCCACCAAACCTCTTTCCACTCCTTTGCCTCGCCCTAAAATACTGCAAATTTTCCTTTAAAAGAATCATTTACACCTTCGACAAGTTGGCCGGGTTGCCGCCACAAGCTATCCGTCGATCAATGCTATCCACAAGATACATGGGCCTGACCTCTGTCAGCGCAGCCAATAAAAATCCAACAGCAGCCGCAGCAGCAACTGCAACAACTGCTGCAACATCAAGAGCAACACGAAATGAAGTCATCGCGATTAGCACGCGCAGCGGGCGAAAAAATACTCAAAGACTCAACGACTCACAGACTAAGACACCGGCAGAGACATTTGTATCTGATAGATACCCCGGACCTGGACAGTGGCAAGCACACACTAGCACACTACATAAATAAATTGCATAAATTGTCGCCGCGATTAAATCGCAGCTGCCCGCAGTCAATCAATTAATTAAGCAGACTTTTAGGGCAAAATCAAGCCTAAATTACATTAAAAATTAACTTAAAAAAGCCGCCAAATGATTGCCCATTGTTTCAAGTAATTAGAAATACAAAAACACAAGCTGAGCTGCCATTAATTACAGCTTCAGAGGTTGACATTTAGCCAAGGCTTACAATCATCTCACAATTGCATCCTTAGAGGACGGTCTGTGTCTCTGAACCCCTGAGAATTTTTTTTAGAGAATCTTTAAACAGGCAAACACTGAACCAGTTGAAGTCTGTACAAAATTTACATATACCTGTGTGCCGGCCTGTGAAATATTCTTGTTGATATTTTTATTTATTGTTTGCTGCAAGATGAAGCCCCGGCTGCCTCTGCCTTTTTTTGTCAAACGAGTTTTTTTTAAGAGTTTACAGAGGCTGTTACTGTTTTATTTTTTTCTTGCGGTGTTTAGTATTTGTTTTTATTTTTTAAGCGTGGAAAGTAAAAGTCAAAAGTTACGCGATCTCCGAAACTCCAACTACGGTCAGCGGGGCCTCTGGGTCCAAAAGGCAGTGCGTAAGTCCCAGAGTGCAGCAGCCAGGAAAACAAGTTCTTTTGTCGGTGCGACGACAGTTTTTATATAAAAAATGTAGCTAAAAGCTAACCAACTAAACTGCTGACTAAATAGTTGGCTTAGATCATTAAGGATGAAGTCACCTTCTTTTTTTTATTTTTTTGTTGAAGAGCTTAGGAAGATAGAGCAATTTACAAGCTAAAAAAACATAGAAATTATTAAATATTTAAATGGAAATTTTAAAGAAAGTGTTTTAATATTTATTCAATTATATAAACAGCATCATTTGAATTTTTTAGATATTTTTAAGGCTTTAAAAAATGGTTTTTAATTGAAAAAATATTTTTTGAACAGTATTTTTCTTTATAAATTAAACAAAATATTTAAAAAAAATTATTATTATATTATAAATTATATAGAATATTATAATTAGTTTTTAAAACCTTGAGTAGAAAGGTATATAAATTCTAAGAAGTTTTAGATCTAAAAAAAAATATATAATTAAAGAATAAAAAAATCTATACAATTGTAAAGTTACCGTTAAAATATTTTCTCTAAATAAAAATTTAAAAAGTTCAGAAATTGTATTTTAATAATATAATATTTATCTTCTAATTCTAAGCTAAAAAAATAAACTACTCGAATTTTCTTTTAATTTTCAAAAAAAAAAATATTTATTTAACATTAGAATAAATCTAATACATAAATTATATAATATTTCCAAGTTCTTGTCTAAAAATAACATTCACAAACTTTCTTATCATCTTTAAAATCTATTTAATTTATTTCTAGAATAAATCTGCTCTCAAAAAACTCGTATCTTTTTTCTCCCTCTTTACTGCAAGAGTAAAAGTATCTCACAGATACTTCAGATAATTGCAAAACACACTTCTAAAAGCTTAGGCAAATTAACACAAAATGTGGGCACGCTCCAAAGTTGGCCTTTATCCATGAATATATAGTATAAATATTTTTTTACATTTTTTCCCTAGAGGCGTGGGCGTTGACAAAAGGCAATTTTCCAAAGTAATTTACTTAGACGCCTGGCGAAAATTGAATTTGACATTTTTCTCATATTTTTTTGTTGCTATTTCTTTGGGTGTTGTTGCTAGTCAATGGCCAGCCCACAAGGAAGCCCAAGTCAAGCCGAGTTGAGTTGCACTTTTCAGAGTGGCCCGTGGGCCGTGTTTTGAGTCTGCAATCTGTCAGACAACAGCAGCCAACACCAAGTGAACAGCAGCAACAATCGTGGCAGAAGACCACTAACCAATATATATTTCGGTTTTCCCAGCTTCAATTGACGACCTTCTTTGGGTACCCACTTCGTTTTGGGGTTTGGCTTCAGTTTATATATATTTTTTTATTATTTCCATTTGGCTAACATTTTGGTATTATTGCCCTGCTTGTTCTCTGGCTTTTCGGCTGCTGTAATAAGTGCAACATGCAGCCAGAACATGGACACCTATTGCTCTTGGGTTGGACCACCACATCAATCAGGCTCATAAATCATTTTAATTATTAAATAAACAAGTTGAGGAAAAACTTTAGCACTAGTAGCAGCTTTTGAGTCTTGCTGAGTCATTTCAATTTTTGTTAGCTCGCCACTTCAGGGCGTAAAATGTGAGAATCTATATATGGAGTTGAGTGGCAAAAGGGTTAATTGGGCAACGATCGCGGTGTGAGGTGACTTTGAAAAGGGAAGGGATATAAATAAGTTTAAAGATATTTTGGGGTTTTATTAGGAAAAGAATGGGAGATTTTAGCTTAAGAGGGAAACTATATCCAAAGGAAAAGTGTTGTAAAACAGAAAATCGATTTATTGCACATATATCGGTCATGTTAAAATACTATATTTAATAGCAAAAATGTTCTCTATATTTTCTTTATGATATATAAATTATTTTACCTATAAAATAGTACACCTAAAATTGACATTCCCCCATTCTATTCCCTATCTTGCAGCTTACCCTCATCCACAGCCACCTTAGAAGACGAAGGACTTGGAAAATCCATAAGTGCCGCCACCTCCCAGGCGGGCAGCACCTCAATGAGTACCGTCAATCCCACCAACACGATGGGCAGACTGGGAATGATGAACAGCTTCATGGGAAGCCACAATGAGAACAGCAGCAGTTCGGGCTGTGGAGGCACCGTCTCCTCCCTCTCCCTGGTGGCACTGATGAGCACTGGCACAGTGGGCTCTGGGGGAGCCGGTACCGGTCTCGACATGGATGTGGATGCGGCCATGAAGTCATCTTTCGAACGCCTGGAGGTCACCGGCCAGCACTTCTCGCGGGCCAACAATTTGGACCAAGAGTACAGTGCCATGGTGGCGTCAGTGTACGAAAAAGAAAAAGAGTTGATCAAGTGAGTGCGATTACAAGGAAGCGATTTCAAGGACGCACATTTAAGAAGTCGCACTATGGTTAATTTTGATAAATAATTTTTGGTTTTATTTTGGTTTAGTTTTCTGTTTTTTTTTTAATATTTTGGAATATGTAATTTCAAATATTAGTTGAGCTTCACGCTGAAACAGAGAGAGAGATTTAATAGATTTCTTCAATGCAATATTTTCTAGCTTACATTTTGCTCAATTTCTATATAGTATTCTTACCTTTAAAGAGCATAGAGAAAATATTGTTTGGATAGATTTTTTGAATATTTAATATATGGAATTTCTTTAAGCTTTTGGATTTATAAACCCCGATGCTGTGCATTTGGGTTATAATCCCCTCTTTACCAAATACTTATTAAGAATGCTGTGGAAAACAATGTTCTTTTGACAAATTTCTTCAAGACAATTCGCCCAAAAAGAAAGGCTTACAACTTAATAATAATTAATAATAATTAAAAATGTTAAAAATTAAGAGATGGCTGAATTGTTGACATAGCTTCCCCTATTTATATTTTAATTCAATTTGTGACCCAAAAATTCTAGAGATTTATAAACTATTTCGTATTTATTTATTGATATAATTATTTTTCCTGCCAACCAGTGGCATCTGTCCATCGAAAATGGCCAGAAAATCCCCAGACAAGTGAGTTGAGATTGAAAATTCAGGCAAAAGGCGAGGCTAATTGACAATTAGACAGATTGCGCAAAATGACAGCAGCAGGCGAAGCCATTGACAGAACGTCATTCTGTCAATATATGTTTTTTGTGTTTTGGAAATTTGGGGGGTTGGGATCTGCCTGCCAAACATACCTGAACAGTGTCTCACATAAATTTATGGCAAGCAATTATTCAATTTTCCAGACATTTGCAACTGAAAATGGTTAGGACTTTTTATATAGATTTCTTTGTTTTTTTTTTTTTTTTTGGTGGGTAATTTAATGTGTGTGTTGCTCATGTTTCCACTTTTGGCTCATTGGCTCCATTGCAGCAGCAACGACAATGTCTCGGTGGCCTCCGACCTGACCCGCATGTATGTAAGCGATGAGGATGAGCGACACGAACGGAACGAGTTCCGGGTGCCCCATTACCATTGAGTCCCAGAACCCAGAACCCAGAGAAAGGGAGAGAGAGAGAGAGGAGCTTTGAGTGAGGCCCCAAACCTTTACCTGTAATGAATTGTACCTTAAGCTTTAATAAACCTTAAAGCACACACACTAAAAAGCAGGCAAGTTACACCTGCTAAAAGAAAACCCCACCCCCGAGTGGTTTGTATATTTTTTGAAAGACCTCTTTATATGCAAACTTCTGCAAAAAAATACCTGATTAATTAGCAAAATGAAAGAAAAGTGCTTTATAAATGAGTAAAGCCACAATTCTAATAAATAAAATAAATAAACAAAATAAAAATTAAACTCTAAGTTAAGCAGAAGTTATATAGTATACATAAGAGGCTTCATTAGTTACACCTAAGTTAACCTTAGTTTTCAATTGGATTCTTGTACACTTGCAAAAAAAAATCATAGAAAAATGAAATATACTTTGTACATGTATAAATGGGCAGTTCCTGGTTGAAATAGTGCAAATATATATACACACACTCCCACAGATATAGATATATATATCTATTTACACGATTTAGAATAAATACAAAACCGTATTGTATCTGTACGTTTATCCCTAGTCATAAGTTATGCTTAGCCTGAATTGAAAAAAATAAAGCTTTCTCTGTAGCCAAAAAGCCACAAATCTCTGTCTTTGACTTCGGACTCGACGACTTTTGGGTGCAAATCCACGATGTGAATAAATGTGCAGCAAATTGGCGGAGCCAAAAGATAAACGAGCTATGGCCACAGCGAATTAAGGTCATCTGGCCGATCTTTTGGAGCGGGGGAGGTCGTCAGGCGGATTTTTCCGGGGGAGGAGGGAGGCGACGCCACGCATGGCCAATAAAAAAATAAAAAACGGTAGCCACTACGAACTGAGGAACAAATGCAGCAAATAAATATTGAAATAGAAAAAAATATACACGCTAAGGAATTATATAATTTATAAGATAATAATATATATATGCTGGATATTAATTTAAGCTTTATGCTCTAAAAATAAATACTTTTAAGTTCTTTTGATAATTTATTTGTAAAATATTTACTACCTTGAACTGTTCTGAATTTTTTAGATATTTTTTTAGGCAAATTATTTCAGAATAAATATATTAATAATAAAAATAAAGTCACTTATAATTCCTTCAAATCAAAAATGGGACTTTAAATTATTTTCTTTATATTGTTTAATGATTTTTTCTTAAAAAAAAAATATACTTAAAAGTTCCCTTATATTTTTATTTATAAAAAATGTTCAACCTTGAATTCTTAAAATTTTTTAGATATTTTTTTTAAGCATAATTATTTCTTAAGTGCAGCAAAAAACATACAAGACAGTCCCAGTCACATATTCGGTCTTGGTCTGGCCCATACATAAATGGCAAAACATGGCTAAAACAATTACCAAAATGCGACGGGCACAACAATCGGCGGCGTAGCATAGTACTACCACTGTTCGTACAAGAAATAATAATAATAATTGTGGCCAATTGCTGCTTAGTTTGGCCAGTTAATTGCAACATGGCCAAGACGACAGACGACAGTCCAAGCTCTCGAGACTTCCACTCTCCGCCAAAAGAAGAAAAAAGGAAAACCCATCGATGGCCACGAGTTCTTTGGCTTAAAAGAGTGGCAGAATCACAGAATGGAGGCTGTGCAGCCAAGTGATTCATTCCGCCAGAGGGAACCAGTTCGGAAATGGCTTATTATGGTCAATGCTTAGTTCCGTTTGTATTTTTGGGGTGTCTCATTTATTTCCTCATTTTTGTGGCTTTATTAATTGGTTATAACTTTTAGGGGAGTATTTTTATTGACTAAGGTTGTGAGCATATTAATTAAGTGGTTTTGCACTATATTTTTAAAAAGATTTAAGGCAAGAGTGGGGTTTAAAATTGTAACAAACACACTCACCGAGCGTTGTCCACCTCAACACGCTCTGTCTACTTTTTCTGCTCGGCAGGCTCAGGGAAAATGGGCGTGGGTTTTGTGTTGACATGAACAATGGTGCTACATAACTAATATTGTAGACAGAGATACTCTAGCTGGGGATATGGTAAATAATATGAATCAGACGAAGGAAGTGTACCTATTGAAGATGAGGCTCCGATGTTATTGGCCTCAATCTAAACCCTCCCAACCTGTGAAGTCCATTCAGGCTCCACCCTTATACAACCAATGCTCTACATCCCCTTAGGTGCCCAACAAGATATCAAATTAGTTCATTTTCAAAGTCATATAATTGCAGGCTGAGATAATATTGAAAGACATTTTCCTAAATCTAATCCTTAAGCCTAAGTTTACGTTATTTACGTTACGAGACCTCTTATTGAGTCAGTTTGTTTTAGATCCAATGAAAGGAAATAAAATTTAAGATAAGAAAGAACGCTTTTTCCTTTTTTACTTTACATTAAATAGATTAACTTATTAATATTCTTTTGAATCAATTAATTAATTAAGATGTGCAAACTATTTCAGAAATCTTGGCGAAATTATAAGGATGGGTTCAGTTTTATTTTGTTGTTTTGCGGCTAGGCCGTACTCACGCTTTCTCCATCGACGTCAGCAGGCCTGATGACTGGTGATGTGTAGCTGTATGTGTTTTAAGTTATTTGAGGGACAAAACGATATTATAATTGCCAAATCTCCCAAAAAAAATTGCTAAATTACGACCGAAAAGGTTTATAAGTACGAATTCTTAAATCAAAAGCTCCTATATGCAAAATTAATTATATTTTAGACACTATCATTCATGTTTATCCGCTCCTGGAGCAGAGTGTGGGCCGGATCAGCCACCAGCTCTCAATACGGATATGTAATGCTACTTCCGTCGTTCGCGCTGATGAAGATGACACGCACTATGTGCGACAGGGATGGCCGCAATCCCTTGCGTGAGGCGTGAGCGGAACGAGACCAGCCCGCCAAGGTGTGGATGCGGCAGAGCGCACGCGATGTGGCAAAGATGCACGGCGATGTGGCAAAGAACGATGTGGCCACGAAAAAGACACACGGCGATCCAATAGGTGCGCCGAAGAAAAGCACGGTGATCCAATATGTGCACCGTGTGAGGGAACGGCGATCCAATATGCGCGCCGTGTGAGGGAACGGTGACACGTTAGCGAGGCGGTAAAGAAAATCCAAATCGAGGATCACCGCAATCGGCACGTGTATGGCCGCCGAAATGGGAAGCGCAGCCCCACGCTGTGCGTGCGAATGCTCCGATGACACGTGGCGTTGATCCCGCTGAGAAGCCACAGACAATGCCAACGATGAATGCCACAAATGACTGCCACCTCACGTGGTGGGCAATTGCTGGCAAAAACAATGCCGGTCGCTTGGACGACTCTGCCGATACGGCTGACGCTGTTTTGAAAAGGCAAAATTAGCACTCCGGCGATCGATTATTCACACAAGCTTACCAATATACGTTAGAGCACTAAATTTACTTAATATGGGTATGATTCGCTTTAACAAATACTGTCGGATCGACACGATGCTTGCGGATTTAGGATCGACAAAAATTAATCCGAACTCGGGGACGCCTTGTGAGAAAGAGAACGGAAGTGAGGGGATCCAATGTGACCGTGGCTTGCAAAAATCCTGTTCGCGAATTTTTGTGGTCTTTTTTAGGTCCTATCGCATATTAGCGATTTGGCAGGATCGTAACTTTAACAGCCCGGTTGTTTGAAAAATGTGGGCGATAAAACTTATCGAGTTGCCACACTGGCTCGATTCCCACAACCACAGCTTTGATTTTTAGTCCCTGTGATTAACAATAAAAGCTGAAAAAGGAATCAAGAGCAATCACCAGATATCCTTGGCATGAAATCTACCCAGTTCCTTTCCGTTCATGTCCTCTAAGAGGTAAATTGACTGTCCAATTCTTGCCTTCACTCGGGCCTTGATACCTACAGGAGCGAGTTTCGCATTAAAATCCTTTGCTGCGTTGCTAAGTACAAAATTCCTTTTGACTACTTCTTGGCCAACCTCAAAAGAACGGGGTCTTGTTCGAAGATTGTAAGACTTTTGGTTTGCCTCGTAAGCCTTATTCAAATGTTTGCCGATGTTAGAACGAATCCTTTGGAATTCGTCAGTTTTTGTCAGGCTTACTTCGCCTTCTGCAAGAAGGTTTAGTTTACGCAGCAGTTTGTAGTCATGACCGTGGGACATCATGTGTTGACCAAAAACAACATGATAAGGCGATAAACCGATGGATTGGTGAATCGAGTTACGAAGAGAGCAGTTGATGCTACTGAGAAATGTGTCCCATTCGCGTTGGTCGGTGCGAATATATGCTCTTAAAGCAGCATTGATTGAACGGTTGACTCTCTCAGCACTGTTGGATTGTGGAGCATAGGCACCAGTAAACATATGACGAACGCCATATTTCGAAAGGAAGTCAGAGAAATCACGGCTTTTAAATTGAGTTCCGTTATCACTGACGACTGTTTCGGGTACACCAAAGCATGAAAATATTTCATCGCGCAATATATTGATGACCACTTTAGCCGTAAACTTTTTCACTGCTTTTAGAAAGGTGAATTTGGAAAAGTGATCAAGAATAATCAATATTCCAATATTGCCGGAATTGGAGCGCGGAAATGGCCCTATAAAATCGAGATAAAGTCTTTGGAATATCCTTTCACTTTGCACTTGTGCTCCCATTGGTGGTTTTAAAGAATGGGTAGGATATTTTGTGGTCTGGCATGTTTCGCAATTTCGAATGTAATCACGAACGTTGATAACCATGTTTGGCCAATAGAAACGTCGTCTGATACGCTCTAGGCATTTGGCCATTCCACAATGAGCAGATGTTGGTTGGTCGTGAGCCGAACTAATTACACTTTGACGCAACGACTCAGGAACGAAAAGTTTTCAGCAATCGTCTGGTGAAACGTCATAAGAATTGGGGAACGTTGCACGATGATAGATGAACTCATCTATGACTTTGAAATCCGGTGATTTCAGAGATTTGAATTTGTCTCTGAGAGCGGAGTACTCTTCCGATTGAAAAGCGCTTGATGATAGGTCAATTTCGGGATAAATTTCAAGGTCTATTGCAGAGATGTCAATCTCTTCGAACGATCGAGACAAAGCATCTGCCACCACATTTTCGGTTCCTTTGCGATGTTCGATTTGGAAAGAAAAACCCTGTAGCTTGATAGCCCATCTTGCCAATCTACCGCTTAGATCCGATTGGTTCATTAGCCATCGAAGACTTGAGTGATCGGTTACTACCTTAAAGCTATGACCGTCAATGTACATTCTGAACTTTTTAATTGCTAACACTACAGCCATGCATTCGAGTTCCGTAACTGTATAGTTACGCTGGGCTTTGTTTAGCTTTTTGGACATGAACGCTATGGGACGCTCACAACCGGAATCGTCGCATTGAGCTAGAACTGCACCCACTCCATGTAGTGAAGCATCACACTGCAAAATGAATGGTTTGTCGTAATTGGGATGAACAAGGCAAGGAGCAGAGCATAACTTGGCCTTGATGTTTTCGAAAGCTTCTTGGGCATTATCGTTCCAACTTAGTGTTTTGCCACGTAGTTGTTCCGTCAGATGGAAAATGACTGTGGAATAGTTGGATATGAACCGCTGGTACCAACCAGTCATACCAAGAAATCTTCGGAGCTGTTTTTG